TTTCATGTACGTTATATCTCTTCATCTTATTTCCTAGAGGCAGAACCTCTAAGGGAACCTAGAGCTAGGCTGGAAGTCCAGTTTCCTTCCCTGTACCAATCTGCCCAGCCATCCGCGCCACTCCTCCTGTGCCCTTTCAAACACGCCCAGAACACTAAGATTACAGGCATGTGGGAAGCCATTCTCAGACTTTACACACGGATGCTTAGATGTGCACAACAAGCATTCCTAGCAGCTGAGCCATCTTTGCAGCCCTAAATATAAGGATTTTTCCATTTCATAAATGAAGTGGCTAAGGGTCAAGGAAGATTGTCGCCTTACATAAAACTAGAGCTGTTTGGGTCACTATCACAATTTGAACATGCATTTGCCTGATTGTAAAGTCCATGTTAATTGGTTGTGCTTCCACACATCCTAATCTTTGTATCCCAGGAGGCAGAGGCATATTGCAAGTTTAAGTCCAGTCTGGAGAACTCAGACAGTGATACCTAGTCATGGAGGGGAAACGGGGGGGGGGGGATGTGCTAGTAATAACTTGGAAGTTACATTCAAAGGAAGCATACTAAGGCAAATTAATTGTGACTGAGTACACTTCATGGCTCCAGCGATGACCAGAATTATGATGTGTGTAAGCAAAACTGCCTGACGTTGTCCTAATGTTTGACACTGTCCACATTCAGAATCAAGGAAAATAAGATTGCATGGCACAGAGTAAAACCTTGGTTTTAAAGGTTCCTTTCTTTTTTCCCCATGTTCCCTTTTGTACCAAAAATGTCTCCACTATTTCCATTTATTTAAGGGGAAATGCAAAAGCCAGACTGGAAGTGTCAGGCCAGAATGAACTGTCTCTCTGCAATAAACCCTCACTCTTCTTCATTCATTCATCAGGCTTGCTAAATTAATGATGTTGCTCACGAATTTCCATTGAACATTGCCCCTGACAACCCTGCCAAAGAAGACATTTTTAGAACTGACAGCTAAACCACAAGTGGTTCTGTCCATACACTCACTGTCACCTCAAGTGTGCGGAGAGATTTGAGGCTGAATGGCAAAGCTGTGTGCAGGTATAGTTTCCAGCCTCACTATGGGTCCACAACTCTTGAAAAGCAACTTTTGAAGGTGGCTTTCTGTTTGATGTGGATGATGGAGAGAGTTATTTTTACACCATGGAGCCAGTGAGTTCTCAGTAGGAGAAATTCCCCAGCTAATGAATGAGGAGCTGGGCTTGGGTCAAAGTAGAGTACAGTATAGCTTTTAAACCAACAAGTCATAAGCATAGTTTATGCTAGTACGTGCTGGGCAGGGCTGGGTGTTTCTCTCCATTTGTGAGAGGTTAAAGAGGTGTGAGCAGGGTATGTACTTCCATGCCTCTAATCCCATGTGGTTAAAGGCTTGGTCATCAGCCTTCTCAGCCAAGAGACATCCTTTCCCGCAGCTCCACTAAAACCACAAAGGTGGGGAAGAAAATGCCTATTCATTCATGTCAAGACTGTGATTCATATGGTTCATAGAGGCCTCAACATAGCATTCAATAAACCTCTATATAAAGCATGAGTCAGCCTTGGTTCTGTCAAGCTTGTTTTAGACATCAAGGCACTTTATAGAATAAATTCCTTTCTGGGTTTTATGGACTTGAAATGGAAATGAACATACCTTCAGGGTTTTTTTTTTAAATGCCAGTAGCTGAATGATGTTAGTATATAGTTTATAGTTCATGTTTTAATTCACCAAAACATTTCTTTCCTAAAGATGGATAATTTAGGTTATTAAATGCAAACAGTATCTGCCTCATTCCTTCCCACATCTCTGTGTTTGTATATATTTTTTAAATGTTTAGAGAATTAAAATACTTCTTTGATACAAAAAAAGCTGTTTTCCTCTAACAGTCATTTTCTGATTGATGCCTTACTTTGTTGTCTCACAAATTCAGACACACAACAGTGGATTTTACTTGTTGTTGGATGAGAGATGAGCCAAATGTGGAGAACTATATTATCAATTAGCTGTACCATGTGTCTGCCTACTTGTTTCCCTAGCCATGTTTCCCCAGACAACCATACTCCAGCATAGTAAAGCTATCAATTAACTGTGTTACTTTTTTCTTTCTTTCTTTCTTCCTTCCTTCCTTCCTTCCTTCCTTCCTTTCTCTCTCTCTCTCTCTCTTTTTTTTTTTGAGGCAGGGTTTCTCTGTATTGCTTTGTTGCTTTGGAGCCTGCCCTAGAACTCACTCTGTAGACCATGCTGGCCTCGAACTCAGAGATCTTCCTGCCTCTGCTTCCTGAGTCCTGGGATTAAAGGCATGCAACACCTGACCCATGTCACTTTTTTTCCATGTATGTATGTATGTATGTAAGTATGTATGTATGTATGTATATGTAATTATTTCTTATTTTACATATCGATCCCAGTTCCCTCTCCTTCCTCCCATGCCCCCCAACCCCCCTCTCATCCCCCCCACTCCACAGGGAGGGTGATGCCTCCCAGGAGGGATCATCAAAATCTGTCAAGTCATTTGGAGTAGAGTCTAGGCCCTCCCTTCTGTCTTTAGGCTAACAATCTGAGAAACAGTGGAAAGGCTATCTTTATGTCCTTCCCTGATAATGAGATTGATAACTATCTTATCTGCCATCATAGAGCCCTCATCTAGTAGCTGATGGAAACAGAAGCGACACCAACAGCTAAACACTGAGCTGAACTGGAATCCAGATGCAGAGAGGGAGGAGTGATAAGAAAATGGGGACAAGACCAGGCTACAGAAATCCACAGAGACAGCTGACCTGAATAAGAGGGAGCTCATGGATCCCCAGACTGATAGCTGGGAATCCAGCATTGGTCCGACTCAGATGCCCTGAAAGTGGGTCTCAGTTAGAAGGCCTGGGCAGCCTAAGAGACCTCTGACAGTGGAACCAGGATGTATCCCTGCTGCACGAAAGGACTTTGGGAGCACATTCCCCATGGAGGGATACTCCCTTAGCCATGTCACTCTTAACATAGCCAGTAATGGTTCTCATAAATGTAGTTGGGTTTATATGACAGAAGTTGATTTTTAAATTAAGGCCACTTGTAAGAGTAGTTTAAGTTTATATAATATAAATTCTACACCACTTGGTCATAACATTGTTAATGTGGTGACACATGGCATTATTTAAAGTCTTTATTGAATGATTCTGTAACTGGCATCCATGCTGTACCCTGCTGCCTCTTTTTCTGTCTGAGGATGCACTAACCACTTCTTTTTTCTTTTAATTTATTTGTCTTTGCCTTAAACATTATTACCACAAGAGTTCAGTCTCTCCTGTCAAGTGGGGCTCTTTCTTTTTAATTTAAGTTAGAAACAGTCTTATTTTATATATTAATCCTGGTTCCCTCTCCCTCCTATCCTCCCATGCCCTCCACCAACCTCCTCATCTTCTCTTCTCCATAGAAGTTCTTCCATGGGGAATCATCAAAGTCTGTCACATCATTTGGAGCAGGGCCTAGGTTCTCCCCCATGTGTCTAGGATGAGAAAGTAGCCCTCTATGTGGAATGGGCTCCCAATGTCTATTCTTACGCTAGGGATAAATGCTGTTCCATTACCAGAGGCCCTATAGACTTTCCAGGCCTCCTAACTGACACCCATGTTCAGGGGGTCTGAGTTGGTCCTATGATGGTTTCCCAGCTATCAGACTGGGGTCCATGAGTTCCCCCTTGTTCAGGTCAGCTGTTTCTATGGGTTTCTCCCCTTTGCTCATCAATCCTCCCTCTCTGCAACTGGACTTCAGGTGTTCAGCTGTGGGTGTCTGCTTCTACTTCCATCAGCTACTGGATAAAGGCTCTAAGATGGCACATAAGGTAGTCATCAGTCTCATTATCATAGAAGGGCATTTATAGTAGCCTTTCCACTATTGCTTAGATTGTTAGTTGAGGTCATCCTTGTAGATCTCTGGCATATCCTTAGTGCCATATTTCTCCTTAAATCTATAATGGCTTCCTCTATTATGGTATCTCTTTTCTTGTTCTCCTCTGTTCTTCCCCTGACTTAATCTTCCTGCTCCCTCATGCCCACTCTCCCATCCTCTTCCTCCTCTTTCTCCCCTCTCCCTATGCTCCCAATTTTCTCCCTTTCCCCTTTTCCAGGGAACTATGTATGTCTCTCTTAGGGTCCTCCTTGTTTCCTAGCTTTTCTGGAGGTGTGGATTGTAGGCTGAAAATCCTTTGCTCTATGTCGAAAATCCATATATGAGTGAGTACATACCATGTTTGTCTTTTTGTGACTGGATTATCTCACTCAGGATGGTTTCTTCTAGTTCCATCCATTTGCCTGCAAATTTCAAGATTCCATTGTTTCATTTTGTTTTTTTCCCCTGCTGAGTAGTACTCCATAGTGTAAATGTACCACATTTTCTCCATCCATTCTTCAGTTGAAGGGCATCCAGGTTACTTCTAGGTTGTGGCTATTACAAATAATGCTGCTATGAACATAATAGAACAGATGTTCTCATTGTATAAATGTGCATCTTTTGGGTATATACCTAAGAATGGAATTGCTGGATCCTGTGGTAGACGGATTACCATTTTCCTGGGGAACCACCATACTGATTTCCAAAGTGGCTGTACAAGTTTGTACTCCCACCTGCAGTGGAGGAGTATTCCCCTTTTCTCCATATCCTCTCCAGCATAAACTGTCTTTGGTGTTTTTTATTTTAGCCATTCTGTCAGGTGCAAGATGGTACCTCAGTGTTGTTTTGATTTGCATTTCCCTGGTGACTTAAGGATGTAGACTAACCACTTTTATTCTTGTGACTATTCAGTTTGGTACAGTGGTTCACTGCATATATATGATACTATTGCATATTACTGTGAGTGTTAAATACTTGCCTATTATTTACTAAACAAAATGAAAGTAATATGCTGATGATTTGGATTGTAGTGATATCTCTTGAAAAGATGTATTTCTAAGAAAGTACTAGAAGGTCCATAAGGAAACTGAAATGCCTGGATTCCTTTTGTCTCTTAATAGAGTCGGATTTGGAAGGCCTTGATGATCTAGGCACAGTTTACAGCAACATTGGCCAGCAGCTGAATGAGACAATGAGGCGCCGCAGACACTCGGGAGAGAACGATTACAACATCGAAGTGCTTCTGGGAGTGGATGACTCTGTGGTCCGTTTCCATGGCAAAGAACATGTTCAAAACTACCTCCTCACCCTGATGAACATTGTGAGTAGTGACTCCTTCTTGAGGATTTTGGTCATTTCAATCACAGCTCTTGTGATAGAAGAGCCTCACCCAAGGCCTGTGCACAACAGTGTTGAATTCAGATTCTGATCTCCCCCTCTGAAGTACAAGAATTCAGTCAAAGAAAACATGAGGTGAAAATTCCTTTTGTTCAATCTACCTGTTTCTTTTGTTACTAAGTGATATTTTTCTGTTTACTTAGCAGCTACACTTAAATCTACTGCTATTTTATTATCATCTGCTTCCCCCACAGCCCCTCAGTCAATGCCCTGCCCTGACTGGCTGGCTGGGCTTCCCTATCCAGCTGCTCAGGCTCTGCCACAGCAGTGATGTGTAGGTTTAGATTAAGTCTCTATTGTTCTATTAAGCAATAAGACTCAGGAGTCAAAGGCTGGGGTAAAAATCTGCTAGCTCAGGGAGGCTGAGCAGCACCTAGTTGACCTTGCTTTTTGGCCTGAGAAATGGCAAGAGACACATCTCTTCCTTCATTCCAGAAGCAAGAGGAAGCTCAAATTCTAGTCACTGCCCTTTTCTTCCTGTGTATCTTCTCTGTCCAAATTGCTGGCTTCTCTATGGCCAATTCCAGTGAGCTAATTGTTGGCTCCACCCCCAATTCAAGGCATAACTTTATTGGGCAGTCTCAGGAGTGTCAGAGTGCAATCAAAATATCCCACAACAACCAAGGTAAAAAAAAATGATGTATTTTAGAAACCATGTTGAATGGAAATATATCATGTGTTTGAATTTTCATTTTGTTTGAGGGACAATTAATACACTGAAGACTGTCAATTTGCCCCGGGTAGTTAAATACTTCTTCCCAGCATTGCTCCTTACTCCTGAGAGGGATAATTTTCAAAGATGGATAAAAACTTTCAAACAAATATACTATTTTCAAAATTCTAGAGAGAAGGTAACATATTTACAAAGCACACAGCTACTGGCTCAGCAATTGCTAATGGGCCCTTGAAGTAATGTGTACTTTATTTTTCTTTGATGAGCCTTAATCAGAGTAAGAAGCAATTTCAACATCATTTTCAAATTGATGTTCTTCAAGTCTTTGGAACTGGCCCAGAGAAACTGCTGAGAAATAACCAACCATAACACATCCAAGCCACCTACTCTGAGAGATAACTGAGGCCATGGCCTCCTTTCATGTATTTTACCCCATGCCAGTCTATTATACACAATATATTGAACTTGTAACTTTGTTGCCTAACTCTCTGCCCTTTTTCTGCTTTCTGGTGCTTGATTTTATTTGTATTGGCACCTATCCCATTCACTTTTTTTCCCATGTGTTGTGTATTTCATTCAACTGTGAAGATACATATTAATGGTGAAAACTCTAAATTTCATTAATAGTTATGTTATGTGCAAGAACATTTAATCCTGTCAAGTATGTGTTTATTCATTGAGATGCCAGTTTATAAAATTACACATATTCCATAACTCTGTGAGGTTCTGAGGTGTTCTCTGCATCCAAGCTCAAAACCAGTGCAGTGGCGTAAAGTAATGTTATCTGACCTCATAACTCTCCCCCAGCTGCTGATTTGCAGAACTTTCTGGAAGAGGGAGTAAGGGGAGAGGGAAAGAAGGCGATTTTGGGGTAAGTTGGATTGAGTTATGTGGCCCTTGAAGCCATGCCACAGAGCACATACAAATTACACAACAAACCGCAGAACACGGGTCAGATCCTAGCATCAGAATTCTCATGGCTCCATGGTGGGGGACTTGGACAGATATGCAAAACTGCTGAATTCCATGTTGTAAAAGGAGAGATTTGAGAAGATATGAACAGAAGCAGAAACACAAGAATAGGAAGAAAGTAAAAAACATGAGAAAAGATGGAACAAACTTATTTCTTGCCACCTTTCTTTGTGAGTTGAGTCTCACATGTTTGGTGACAGTGTTTTTAGGAATCACTTTCTCTTGGTTCACTTTCTTTGCCTCTTCAATGCCTTCCTGCTCAATATTCAGTTACAGAAGAATAAAAGGAAAGCCATGCAAGTAAATACCTATGAACTTCAGGGTCTTATTAAAAAAAAAAAAAAAAAAAAAAAAAAAAGGAACCTGTCCACCTTGCTTTCTAATGTAATAATCCAAAACAAGTTAGCATAACCATTAATAGTTGGGATGAAGATTTGAGTTACTTTTCATGGCTGTAATAAAACGCTATGGTTACAGTCAACTTGTGAAAGAGTTTACTTTTGACTGATGGTTCCAGAGGGAGAGTCCATAATGGCCAGGAGTAATGATAGCAAGCAGCTGGATCAGGAAGTTGAGTGATCACAACATCAGTGTAAACCCAAAACAGAAAGGGTAGACTGGAAATGAGGCATGCTAGGACCTCTCCGAGACATACCCAGTGATATACTTCCTCTAGCAAGTCCACACTAGCTCCCCGAACTTGAGCCTATAGGGGGATAGTCTGACTCAAGCCACCACACCACATATATAGAAACAACCACACAGCCTATCATGCTATTGTGATCTGTATAAAAGTAAAGATAAGCTTTTCAGCATTTACTGAAACATCAATGTAATGTCCCTTGTCTTCAAGACACTTATAATTCAAAAGAAAAATTAAGAATCAAAGACTTTTAGGTTAGGAATGACCATGACATGCCTGCTAATGCAACCTTTTGCTGTACAGATGGGAAAGTTTAATAGTGTTGCTGTTGATACATTGGTTCCTGAAGTACAATATGTAATAGAGATGGCAGTGGCTACAGTCCTCTCCCATGCCTTTTTACTTTATCTACAATAGCATCTTTTCCTTTGTTTTCCTCATCTATATTTTGTTCTTTCCTAGAGACATTTTATTCATCAAGACCAGGATCAACTAACGGATCTCCTATGAGTCTTTCACAAATTATTTCTTCCCTGTTATAAATTATTTTAATTTCTTGAAAGTGGTTTTCTGATAAGCCATCCATTGCCTGAATATAGTTACTATTTGTTTTTACGTTTCATATGTAGAGCATTGAAAACTGCCCATCATATACACATATAAAATTATATTTTAAGAATCCCAAAGTGGTGGCACAGCCTACAATTCTAGCACTTGAAATCAGAGATAAAAGTGTCCCAGAGCTCAATGACTACCAGGTCTGACCAAATAATAAGCATCAGGTCCAATGAGAATGCCCTGTCTTAAAGTAGAGAGACATAGAAGAGGAAACTGACTTTTAACCTTCATATGCATGTGCGCCTGTGCACACACACATTCATCTGCTCACACACATGCACCTGCACACACACACATGTGCCTGTACACACACATGTGCCTACATGCACACGCATGCACCTGCATGCACACACATGGGCCTGTACTCACACACATGCACACTTACAGGATACCTCCAGTATGAAAGGAAAGACAAAATACCCCCAGAACAACCTTATACTTTCAAGAAATCCTAAGAGAGCATTCATTCATTCTGTCTGTTGAAATTGTCTGTTCATGAGTGAAAACTAAACGATAATGCAAGCATCTTCTCTATTCATAATCTTTAAAGAAATCACCCCTCCCCATACTCCATTCCTTCTAAAGCATAATGAATGACTAAGTGTTAGCACATGAACATTATTGATGGTTACTTAGTGTTACCTTCAGGCTCTAGATTTATCTAGGGGTATGTGTATTCAGGAGGCCTGAATGGGTCCTGCAACAATTTTCATTTTTGGTCAATATCTAATATCCATTTCCTCTGTTGAAGTTCACAACAACACTCTAGACATATATTTAGCCAGCATTTGTGGCCTTTCTTGAGTCTCAATCATGTTAAATCCCTAGGAAACTAATAAAACTAAGCTCCTCTCCATAGCCTGCTAATTGTAGCAGGTAAAATCAAATAGTGGTATTAAAATATATTTTTTTCATTTAGAAGATCCATCTAGAGCCACGAAAAGGAGGGAGGTGAGGTTTGGTCAATAACACCAGTGATCATGAAGTGTTCATAGAGAATGTGCTCTCTGAGCTGGACTTCAAAGAATAAGTTGGTATTTCTATGCTGTAGAAGGACATGTGGGTGTTGGAAGGCATCCTAAGCATGTGCATTGAGCTGTAAAGAGCACTAAAGATGACTAGTGATTTTTGTGAGAGGGGTGGGAGAGGGGGCCTTTAGAAACAAAGCCTGCCTGCAGCAGGGTAACTGGGAGCCTCTGCCTCTCCTTTACCCCTTGCTCAAATTGTTTCCATCTCACACCTGTTTTTGTCTCCCATGAGCTTGCCCCACCCCCTACTTTCTTCAATCCAGGTACTCAAATCCAGAGTCTCTTGCATTCCATGGAAATGATCTATCACTGAACCTCATCCACAACCCATTCATTTCTCCTCACATTTATAGTTTCCATTCTTTTTAGTATGTGCATTTCCCATTAGAATACATGTTTGGTCAGAGAAGATTCAAATTCATTTACTATTCAGGTCCCCACTCTTAGGACATTGGCTGCTCGATAAGAGTGTAGACAATTATAGTCTTACATGGCATTACAGTTATTTGTACAGTTAGAAGAACCTCATAGGACCCCTGGGTACCAGGAATACTCCAGAGATGGAATGAAGAAGAGAAGTAGACATGTGTTCATTTGGAAAGTTCATTTTATGAGAGAAAAATTCAGAATGACAGTTTTTCATAGATCAATTCAGAATTATTTTATGTCTAACCAGGATTGCCCTTGTCTGTCTTGCCATCCAAAGATCTCTTTGAAACTTCACATAGGTCTAGTGTTTTGCTTCCCTGAGAGAACTGTGGTATTATGCCTAACATGTTAAAGTCAAGCACCATTTTAATCACTGCTCATATGTGAACTCATGTATTCCTTTCAATGACTCCGTGAATACAGTACTGTGATAATTCACTTTTACATCTGGGGAAACTGAGGCACAGGTGGCGAAATGACATGCCCAGGGTCACATAGTTAATTATCTGGACAGGTAGTTGACAACAGAGCTCATGTTCTTATTTTCTTTTTCATTTTTTAATTTAAATTTGAAACAAGCTTGTCTTACATGTCAATCCTAGTCTTCCTCTGACCCCCACTAACCCTCTTCCTGTCCCCTTGCTGCTCCCCAGGGAGGGTGGTGCCTTTCCTGAGGAGTCTTCAAAGTCTCATATTATTTGGAGCAGGGCCCAGGCCCTCCTCCATGTGTCTAGGCTGAGGAGTTATCCCTCTATGTGGATGGCAGAGCCCATGTTCTTAACCATTCCACCACACTGCCTCTTGAGACCCAATTCACCCAAAAGAAATAGAGTGTCTCCTTTTGTTGAAGCCAGACAGAGCTGTTCATCAGCTAATCAGACAGAGGGGTCAGGCTGTCCTGCCAGGGGAATGCCCTGGAGAAATTGTCCTGACCGGGAACACACCTGGAAGGAATTTTCTTTTCAAGGAAAGAGATGCTTGACTGGATCTTTGCCTTTTTGCCCTCTTTATTTTATTGGCAACCTGATCAAAGTCAAGGCCATCTGAAAATTGAATTAATATTCTGTTTACCCCTTCTTTAAGGTCATTTAATGAGGTCTCTAGGTCCAACCCTGAACTTCTCATTGGACTTTCTTGTCCAGAGCCCAGTAGGTTGGCACTAGTGATGACATTTTGATCAGCATCACATGTGTCAAATGCATGACTTAAAGCAACATCCATACTTAATGCATTTTTATGTCCAATACACTGACTACAAATCCCACTGTTTTTTCTCATTTGCCTTTTCTGCTAATTTCTTCTATCTGCTCTTTATTTTCCCCAGTATTTTAGTACACCATTATATTGGTGAAGAAAGAAATTGTTATTTGTAATAAATCTCGAATACAGCCTCTCCTTTCTTTAAAATTAATCTGAAAGAAGGTAACCAAAGCAAATGAACACTGAGTTACCTCTCGCAGTATAATTCCATGGAATATTTATAATCTCAAAGGTGTGAATTGCTATTATTCTAAAATGAAATCTGTTTTGCAGTGTCTTGATTTGTGGGTTTGGTAGTGTGCTAAAATGTTTAAATCTGTTGACTGTAGGATCAAACTGTCCAGATTTGCTTCCTTGGCATGCTCTAGACCATGTAACATTGGGCAAATTACTTGACAACTCTCATTCTCGATTTCTTTAACTGTAGAGTGATAATATCCCTGAAAGTAATTTCAGGAATTCCTTGAATTGGTACAGGTTTAAATATATAAAACAATGTCTGGCATCTGGAAAGGTGTACATGATGTTAAGTATTGTGTGTGGAGTTTGGTAGTGATGCTTCTCCTTTGGAAAATAAGCTTTCTTTGTCACTAAAAACTATACAACTCTCTTCTTTACAAAAGTTATTGTCCCCTCTGCTAGGCTTAAGTTGGAAATTCAGTATGATGCTCTTTTAGTTCTTTTCTATTGCTTTGATTGCATGGTCAAAAGAGGCAGCCCCTGGAGAGGGGTTAAGGGTGGCTGTCTTTAGGCCTCTTTGTATCAGATGACATACAAACTCAAAATAAGAGTTTTCCAATATTTTGTTTTGCTTTTAAGAGTCAAATAAATAGTCATTCAAAACTGGATTTTCCTTATGCTATTTTGAAATTTCTGTTTAACTTAGTGGGAGCCTGTTTTATTTGTGGGTAAACATGGGAAGGCTGAGGACAACCCAGCTGGGATGTAGGTGTTCCGAGGAGTAGGGCAGCAGCTAGCTTGTCCTTCTCCAATCTCAAGAGTGCACAGTGCCATCTGCTGGCAGATCTCTGAGGAAAACTTATTTTTTTCCAGTAATTTTCTCCATGATTTTAAATTGCACCTTCCATTCAGTTGCTATGTAACCAGTTCAAATGGGAGCATCTTGAAATTCCTTAAAAGTACGACGAGCCCTTTGATTTTCTTGAGAAAAGGTGAATTGTGACCATGGCTTTACACAAAACTTCACCCTATCCATGAGGATGGGTGTGAAGGATTTGGTGTTCTGCAGAGGATAGTTCTATGTCATTTTGCTTGATTTAAACAACCTGTCTATGAAGCTGGCAGGGCAGCTATAATTACAATTTGACAACAAGAAACTTGAGGCCCAGAGTGGTTAGCTAAACATTCTAAAGTCCCCTGGCTTATTGTGGAAATGCTTGAACCAGAATCCAGGACTTTGAACGTGTGGTGCACGCAGCTGTGCTATTTCTCCATTTGTTCTCATTCTGTGTGTCTGAGTGTGAAAACAACCTACCCATGGCCTCAGTGGGAATGGGAAGCTGAAAAGCCACCATGTTACTAAGCATATCTTAAAGGTGAGTTATATAAAGAAGTCAACTTTCTTGATCCTTGAGCAAAGGATGTGGGGTAAGATCCAGGGCTTTGCACTGCTGCTGTTTGTTTTTCTCCCTGAAAGACTACTTCCTGATACTGGGAAATATTACTCCTGTTTTGGTTATTTTTAACCTGTGATAATGTAGTAGAAATTTTAAATGATCCTATTTCATAATTGATGGTTTTATCAGTAAAGCAGCCTGCTACCCAATTAACCTGGCATGATAGTGACTTTTGTTAAATTATGCCTTTTTTTCCTGGTGAAAGTTAATTTGACTCTTAAAATGGTGCCGTTACTCAACTTGATACTATTGCTGTGGCATCAATAATTTTTACCATTATACATTATTGGCACTTCGTTGATTTTTAAATTCACTGACTATAAGAATGTAGCAATGTAGGCTGTCATGTATATTTTTGATGTCCTACCTCACATGTCACAAGCTACATGCCATTGTTACCACCTTTCCTTCACTTTGTAACTCTAAGGCAGTGGTTCTTAGCCTTTCTAATGCAGTTAGCCTTTAATACAGTTCTTCATGTTTTAGAGACCCCCAGACCATAAAGTTATTTTTACTGGTACTTCATAACTGTCATTTTGCTACTGTCATGAATCATAATGTAAAAATCTGTCCTATGATGGTCAGGGGCGACCCCTGTGAAAGTGTCATTCAACCCCAAAGTGGTCATGACCCACCTGTTGAGAACCATTGCTCTAAGGTTTCCCAGTGTGGCTGCTTTCTGTAGCAGTCATGACTATGTCTCCTAACCCAATCATTTCCTTTTTTCCAGAAGTTAACCCACTTTTTATTACACACTTAAAGATTTGTACTTCATCACTTTTGTTTGATTGGTAGCATTACTTTTACCCTTTTGCAAAGAGGGCAAAGGCATTTACAGCTCATCTCCATTCAGCTAAGCACAGCATCCTCCTTTTTGTGCCAGGCCTCTAATGGGAACAGCCACCTTACAGGAAATCTGTTGGAATGGCTGTGAGTCTCTAGATATATCTGGCTTTCAATGTGTGCCTTTATTGGAATTGTAACATTAAGATTTTTTTTGAAAAGAAAATCTTCAAGAGGAGGGTAGGGAGACACTGCTTGCAAGTAGGCAGTGTGTACTATGGTGTAACAGAAGAATTGGCTTGTGACAAAATAGGCCATAGATATCAGTGCCTTTGTCTAGCATTCAGCTTGCTTTATGTTGGATTGGAAATGACCCCTCTGATAGAAATGACTGGTTTTAATTCACCTTTGGTAGCTTTGTAAATGCTATGTACAATTTGCCTACGTAGCATGCCATCTGTCAGTCTTCATTAAAGGTCTATAGTGTTGAGGTTGTTCCATGTGGTCATGCTAGACTCTTGAAACACCTAAATAGAGATTTCTTGGCCTATTTCTTGGTTAGCATGACAAGTAAGAGTTTCCTGGTGGATAAATTTCATTCTACGGTGATTGAATTTTCTGTATTTTCAGACCTATGAACGGCATTATATATTTCTCTGCAGCTTTTACATTTTCTATGCCTGCCGTCCAAACCTCCTGGATCTCAAGTGAAATTGTGGTTAGCATCCATCCCTCTCTTTGTTTCTGCTAGAAATTTAGGCCCCTGTTCTGGGGACTAACTAGTAAGTGGAATCTAGCTAGGTAATCTTGCCTTTGTCATTCCTGCTCACATTTGCCAAGTTGGACAGATTTAATTCACACTCACTTTGCAGAAGCCTAATCAGAAGATATAATTACAGCGTACTTTAGATTCCTGTCTGCCAGTAACTCACTGTGTGGTTTGATCATTGCTTAAGGTCTATAGGCTTTACCTTCCTCTTCTGCATAAAACAGAGTCAATCTGTGGCCTACTATTGCTTTCATTCCAATAGCTATACTACCAAAGTACACAAAATCACTCAGAGAGATTCAAGGCTAACTTTGAAAATGAAATAATGAGATGAGAGTCAATTGAACTCTTCAGAGTTGAATCCAGGACAGACATCTCTGGTACGCACTTTGATAATGTATATTCTGAAAAATATCTGTCCTACACTAATTCTAAACAGTCATTGCCCCAGTTGTTCTATCCTGGGAGGCAGAGTGAGAAAGCCACCAACTTTCTGACTTATAGATAGTCCACAGCTTCTACGCAGAAATCCCTCAACCAAGATAGTACATTTGTCAGTCACCTGAACATGCCTAAGGCTGTTTGTCTTCTTCCACTGTGGTGTGACACCAATAGGAGGCCAGAAAATCACTAAAGTCAATTCCTGTATTTGCTTTAGGTGAATGTTGTGTTATGTGTAGACACGTGAGAATGTGAACCTGTGTGTTTGTACACACATGCATATGCATATATACACACTATTTATTTAATAAACCTTTTTATCATATCAATATTCATTTTTCTCTGTAGTTTACAAAAATCAGTCATTCATGTATGTATTGCTTCAAAATAAAAGATAAATTACTTCATTTTGGAGATCAGCTTAAACTAAAGTTAAAAACAGTGTTAAGTTGACCAATCTGACTAGAGAGTACTTGTGATTGGCATGGCTGATCTCTTGAATGCTACATGTCTCTTGAAATTTGCAGCATTGCATTTACTGTAGAAACCTTCTGCTTTGTCTCCAGGTAAATGAAATCTACCACGATGAGTCCCTTGGCGTGCACATAAATGTGGTCCTGGTGCGAATGATTATGCTTGGTTACGCAAAGGTAAAATGTCTTAAAATGTATGGGCTGTAAATATTAGACTTTGTTAGCCAGTAGAAGATCTAGTTGCAAAACGACCCTCTATCTTGTATAAACTCATGGTTATACCAAGCTGAGGAAAAGAATCTTCTAGAATTGAAAGAGATTTCTAAATTAGATCAATGGTTTGTTAAAGACAGGTCTCACATAGTACAGTTTGGCCTCAAACTCCCTATGAAGTCAAGAATGACCTTGAACTCCTCATCCTCTCAACTCTACTTGCTAAGTTTTGGGACTATAGGAATGCACTATAGTGTTCAGTGTATACTCAGTTGGGATTGAATGAAGACTCTCTTGCACAATAGACCAGCACTCTTACCAACTGAGCTATACCTGACACTCAGTTACCACAATTTTATGAGTAAGTGACCATGAACGGATGCCATTAAAACAAAAGAAAATCTCCGTAGCCCATTACCATCAGGTTGATGACCTGTATATATCCATTCAGTGTGTCCGTGCAGTGTCCATTTATATGGCAGTTACTCTGAGTACTTGGAATAAATGAGTGATTTATTTAAAACAATGTTTCACATGGATACATTTATAAATGAGGCACCCTGGATATTTTTTTCAGTTAAGGAAGCTTTAATCCTTTTAAAAACAGAAAGTTGGATCAAAATGTATACAGTAGCCATATAATTAGAAACCTATGTATATTGATACTAGATGTGTCCATGCTCTTGGAAAAAAATAAATTTGAGAAACCCTAATAACTTGGCAGTTTTGTGTATGTGCATGAAACAATGAATACCTCCATAGTTATTCCCTCTGATTGGGAGGTGCTAGTGAACTTTTCCATATGGGAAACCATAAGCCACCATGTGTTTGCATTTCCTTGTGCACCTATCATCCTCATATCCTCATCTACAGATACACTGTCCCTGATGTTACCTTCTCTTAAAACCTAACATACTTTGTATTGTTACAGAGGAACAAGCAAACCCCAGCTGGACATCTCAACTGCTTTCAGTTGGTTATAAAATCATTTGTTTGGCATACTGTGTGAATAGCATATAACAGACCAAGCTAAGTTTATTAGGAATGTAAACACTGATAATAGCATTTCTGAAATTTAACAAAATGCTGGGCCCTTTAGCCAATTAGGAATTCACTTGGGATTCCAAATTTAGTTTCTCTTTCTGTTAGAAACACTCTGGAAAAAAGAAACACATGTTCTTAAAGGGGCTTTTTTACCCCTCAACTTTTTAACTACACACACACACACACACACAGAAAGAGAGAGAGAGAGAGAGAGAGAGAGAGAGAGAGAGAGAGAGAGAGAGAGAGAGGATGAGACCAAACCCTGTCATTTCATGGGGTTAAAATGCTATTCCCCTCCCCATGGTGAAGCTAATTTAATTTGACTGTGCCCGTACACTAAAGTTTATCCAGTCTTACCAAATCTTTAAAGAACTTATTTTCCTCCACCATATTGATTATCTCTGGACTGAAAGAACACACAAAATTCTTAAGAGCTTTGACCTTCATGTCTCTGGAAAAGAAAAGTCTCATGCAAAAATTTTTCCCAGTGTGTTTGTAATGTATGCAATCTAAAATTTGAGCAGAATCAGTAAATATTTTAGACGTCTTAAATTCTCCTCCAAATGATTACTATTAAGTCACTTCACAGTGACACACCCAGCTCAAACATGGCTATACATGTGTGTGGATTTTCACACGTGTAGCATGGAATATCTTCACCTGGTCCTTACAGATTTTAGAATTTCTAAATCAAAGGTGACTCCCCGGATAATATTTCTGAATCCTTATTGAAATATTATCCCCAATTCCAAATCACAAAGTGTGTTTACCATATTCTTCCCTTTTAGTCTATCAGCCTCATAGAAAGGGGGAACCCATCCAGGAGCCTGGAGAACGTGTGCCGCTGGGCCTGCCAGCAGCAAAAACCTGATCCCAACCATGCTGAGCATCATGATCATGCCATTTTCTTAACCAGGCAAGACTTTGGGCCTGCTGGAATGCAAGGTATCACTGTTTCTATGTAGAAGAAAAAATCAAGGGCCTGGGTATTCAAAAGAAATCCCAAGTCAAGCCCCCCCCACCACCACACACACTTTCCACCACTCACCAGCCAAGCATACATTTTCCCATTTCTTCCAGTGACCTTTTGCAGAATCCACAATGTTAACTGCCACTTAAACACCATAATAAATTATGCTTGCCTTTAAAATAATGATTGCACATTTGGAGTATGGAAGGGACACTGTAACATGTAGTGTGATTTCCACTAACCACTCAGAATAAGTGGCTCCTGCCAGCAATCTTTCTTCCAAAGTTGACTTACATTTAGCTAAGAAACACTGGTATAGACTGTGGAGAAGGACTGATGCTTTTCTTTTCCGCACTGGTGGAATTTCTGGCTCCCTCCATTAGAATCAAGATATGAAGGGCCATTTACTAAAACAGAAAGGCAAAACAGAATGGTAGCCCCAGGCGGTCCCTTCCTACTTTTCAAAGAGAATGTGGCTTACTCATAACAGAGAAATAATGTTGTCACTTTTTATAGGAACACTGCTTTTTTGTTTTAAACTAAGAAAATACCTAGTACTAATAATAATGAGCTTTTTATATATAAAATGTAAATAAAAGTGATTGCCATTGTCTACAGGATATGCTCCAGTCACAGGCATGTGTCACCCAGTGAGAAGTTGCACCCTGAATCATGAAGATGGGTTTTCGTCTGCTTTTGTAGTAGCCCATGAAACTGGCCATGTGTAAGTTAACTTCTGACAGCTAAAAAAAAAACAAAAAATTTTTTCTTCTGCTTTTCCACTATTGTTCACACTTTAAGCAAAAGTGCATGCCTGTGTGAGTTTTCATCCTTTGCCAAGAGTGAGGACCTGCAAACAGTGAAGGGTTATGTGCTGAAACTCAATGAGTAGCTCTGTCTAGTCAGGCAGCCCCATGCTTTTTACTGCTATAAACTAAAGAAAACATCCCACTAGACTGCTCTCAATTTCAGTGTCTGTGGTGTCTTCAAGGAAGCCATGTTGACTTTCAAAAAAATATCTTTCCCAGCATGTGTTGTGATACAAGAAAATAAGTCCAAGCCATGGCCCTGCAGTTATTACCCACGAGGTCTCCTTTGTGTTCTAGGTTGGGAATGGAGCATGACGGGCAAGGCAACAGGTGTGGCGATGAGACCGCCATGGGCAGTGTCATGGCACCCCTGGTACAAGCTGCCTTCCATCGATACCACTGGTCGAGATGCAGTGGCCAGGAATTGAAGAGATACATCCAGTATGTGCCTCGCTGCATGTCATGCCCTGCTGCATAGGCTACAAACATGGCATCAGAGATGTTGACCCAAAAGTTTCTATAATGTCATACAATGGTGTAAGCCATGAACTTAAGTGTAGTACTGTCTGGGGTGGGGTTTCCCCTGGGGTAGACTCCTTGTGACTGGTGGTTAGATTTGAGCTGAGGATGGAGATGGAGTTCTTGTGTGGTTCCTGCTTTTAACCCTACTCATATGCTGAAGACCTACTGTGCAGGTGTTAAAGAGTCTGCCCTGCCACAGTTCATATAGATTCATTTAATGTTTTGAATGCGCTGCCACAGCATTCCTCTATCCCAGAGTTGTGCTTAACTAACTTTCCCAGAATTAGTAAAGATGAAAGATGAGTTGAATAAAAACAAAACCCTTAAAACCAGGTTTCTTGGAACCTGCCCTATGATCTGACAGAACCCCAGAGTATTTGAACTAAGAGACCCTTTTCCCTTTCAGACCTGACTTCAGCGAGAATTTAAATGTACTTAATGTTTTCCTCCCTGCAGTTCCTATGACTGTCTCCTTGATGACCCCTTTGAACATGATTGGCCCAAACTTCCAGAACTTCCTGGAATAAATTATTCCATGGATGAGCAATGCCGTTTTGATTTTGGTGTTGGCTACAAAATGTGCACTGCGGTATGTGCCCTGCTGTCAAATTAGATGTCTTATTTTGAAATCTGTTTTCATAGCTCCTTTTGGGTGGGCCTTGCAAACTCACTGGTACAAGTGTGACAAGATCTATAGTTATCTTGTATTTGCTCTGATGACTGAGATAGCCTTAATTAATCCTCATGAGAGACAAGAGGGAAGATAGATCATAGGCATTCATTATTCTAATTATTTTATTTTTTGAGATTACAATATAATTACATTATTACCCCCTCCTATTTTAACACTCCGAAGCCTCCCAAATACCCCTCCTTACTCTTTTTCAAGCTTATAGCTTTTTAAACTAAAAGTTTTTATTACAGGTGTGTGTGTGTGTGTGTGTTTGTGTGTGTGTACATACACAGAACATACACACACACATACATATTGCAGAAACGGGCAGAAAGATTATAAGGCTTTTACTTTTAGGATGAAAAAGCCAAGACTGTGGAGGTTCTAAACCCACTGAAGCCATCTCTTCACACCTCGTTAATAGGGAGCTAGCTGGGCTGACTGAGGTTCTCCAGCTCAGAGCCTTGTGTCCCGTTCCTCCTCTGCTGTTTCTTTCCTTCAGAGATGGCACTGGGCTTTTCTCTGGCTTGATGGCCAGTATCCGTATCTTTGTGGCGATAGAAAATGATTAGCCCGGTATTCACAGTATTCAAATGGAATACTGTGAAGAGTGTGTGGTGGTGCAGCACTTAGGGGCTGAGGCAGGAGGATCATGAGTTAGAAATCACTTAGTGTGTTCAGGACCATCCTGGGCTATAAAATGAATCCCTGCTTTGGGTGGTTTTAGTTTATGTTTTTACTTTCCAGGAGTTAGACATGATGACATGGATGTCAGACAAAGGAGAGCAGATGTGACACTACACCATGAACTTGAGTACCATATGTGGCAACTCTGGCTTTGTTTTCTCAGATCTGAAGTGTGGATAATGACAGCATTTACCTCCTATAGTTTATGTGAGGTTTAAATGTGAGGATGTAGTTAATGTACCCAGCACGATGCAGACCAATTGCACTTGTCTTTGCCACTTCAGCACTCTAATACAGTGTTTATTTCTTGGCACGTTACCACTGTGGCAATCAACATGAAATTAAAATACCCCCTCCCTCCAAAAAAACAAAACAAACATGACATGAAAAAAAAAGTGTGTATAAAAATATGGTTGGCAAATATTCCACTCGCTGAAAGTGTGCTTCCTTTTCTTCTAGTTCCGAACCTTTGACCCATGCAAACAGCTGTGGTGCAGCCATCCCGATAACCCATATTTCTGTAAGACCAAGAAGGGGCCACCACTCGATGGGACCGAGTGTGCTGCTGGGAAGGTGAGTGTTTCTGCGTGTGGTTAAGCTTCTTCATGTGCTGCACTGGAAATGACACAGTCTAGCAAATGACGCTCACTGCTGGACTGTTTTCCTTATGGAAAAATGTCTTGCCCATGGTTTCCTTCTAGTAAGGTTCTAAGACAGTATACTACCTTCCGTGGTGACAAAGTTGACGTTTCAAAACACTGGAAGTTTGTTCTATAATAGTTGTCGAGGGCAAGAGTCATTTATACTGAGGTGAAGTCCGATGTGGACAGGGCTATACCTCACTGCAGAGACTATAGTAGCCATGAGTCCTTCCCCTCTACCAGCTTCTGGTTATCTCCTCTCACATCATGGCCAAGCTCCTCTGACCTCTAATATGGGGTGTCTCTATTCCCTCTACCCCTTTCTTTCAAGGATTGAATCTCTTTGTGATGTTTTGGGCCTACCTAGATACCTCAGGATCTTCTGAACTTGAAATCCTTCATCAAATCATTCTGGCAAATAATCTTTTTTTACTAAATAAGGTCACCTTAATGGGCCCAGACAGTAGAAGATTTTAACACTGAGAGGACCAGACTGTTTGGCTAACTATGGCCAAGACAAAAGATAGTAGGAACAACAGATCTCTGGCCCCTGCTAGTAGTGTCTGGTTTACTTGCTGGCATGGCATCCCTTGTGAAATTTGCCCAGAAGTAAAGGATTATGAATTTACACCAAAGATTTGGCCTCACTCCTGGAGGAAAGAGGCCCAAAGGTTTTAAATCTCAGATTGTGTAGTTGGGGCTGAAATCTTAGGAACTGGTAGGATGCCAAGGTGTGCGTCTCTTAAGGGCAGAGAGCCTAAAACAAAGGCATGCTAAGAACGCAAGCTGAACAGCCTTGACTGGTCTAGAAATAATATACTGCAGATAGGACCAAATGCTGACAGAAAAGAGTAATACAACTATTACCTTTTCAAAAGGTTGATTTTTACCTTTTCAAAAAGTTGATTTCAAACATACATGAAATATGGATACTAATAAAAATCTGTCATTACAAGTACTTGCATTTTGTCTGACACTGTGCTTTGGGATGATTTAGTAAATAACTTTCCAAGTAGAATTATATTGGCTTATTAAAAAGTTATGGTATAATAGATTTTAACATCCAACTTCCCTACATATAATTGTAGCATGTTATATTTAAGTGTATAAAGTTTTAAAAACTTAGCAATTGAAAGTTTTGGAAAGAAAATAATCCATTCCCTTTGAATACCTATATGCTAAATTCTGGGCAGTGTTATCACAGAATTTGTGTGGCATTGTGGCATTATTAACCTCACTAAGTTCTTGGACACATGTTGGTCCCTAAACAATTAATGAATTTTTATATACCTTGATTTTTGTTTATCATCTAAAAGGTATTAATTTACTTATCAGATACATACATTAATATTTTATAAATATAAATGTACTTTGGATGCTGAATACTGTTTTAACTAACTTTAGGTAGTTACTTTTTAAGATGAGACATATTTGCAGGCCATTGTTTTAAAGAGGGCATGTTAGCATCCAAAAGCTCTAGGGTGATCTAAGCAGTAAGAAGTAAGGCAGACAGAATGGGGTCTACTGGGCACCTACTTGTCATTTCAAAGCTTATCCGAGTAAATGGTATTTTTCTTTGAAATAAAAAGGTTTGGTTTTATTAATATGTGTGTATGAGTCTGTATATGTATGTGAGTGAATGCCCAGTGTCTGTACAGTGGCTCACAGAGGCCAGAAGAGGGCATCTGATCCCTATACTTAGAATTGCAGGTATTTGTGAGCTACCTGATGCGGATGCCAAGAACATGACTTGGATCCTCCTCAAGAGAGCAGTGAGGCTTCTTAACCAGTGATCCATCTCTTTAGCCCAAATTATCATTTTAATTTTATTCTAAAAATATAAATTTAAGTTATCCTTCCAATAGGATATCTTCATGCAGCAAATGCCTATGGATACTTTAAATCAGTAATAACTGGAGGGAGAATAGAAAGTTGAAGACCTTCAAATAAGTTTTTCTTGAATGACACATTCAATGACTTTCATAATTAGTTTTTTTTTTTTTTTCATTTTCCCAAGTGGTGCTATAAGGGACACTGCATGTGGAAGAATGCTAACCAACAAAAACAAGATGGCAACTGGGGGTCATGGACCAAATTTGGCTCCTGTTCCAGGACATGTGGAACTGGTGTTCGTTTTAGAACACGCCAGTGCAATAATCCCACGTGAGTATAGCCCTATACTTCCTGTTGCTTTCTTATAGGCCAGAAAGTGATTCCATGTTCTGCTACTAGTGTTCTTCCTTCTTTCATCCTGCTTACAAGATAGAGGGTATGAAAAAATCTTGGTTCACAATTCCTAAGTTGTTGCCTTTTGGATTCACGTTCCCAAAGTGAAGAACAGTCAGTGATGTGGAAAAGACATGCAAACGAATGGAGAGATGTTTTGGAGAACCTGACGTTTGGGGTTATTGGGGAGTCAAGCAGAGAGAGTAGATAACCTGTGTGCCCTGTAGGCTGTGAAGTGTACATAAAGATGCAAAGGAGAAATGTTAATAATTTCAACTGAATTCCAGAAGGTAGGTCCAGCTGTTCCAGTGTCAAAAGACGGTGGCAGACTGGCAGGGACTGTGAGAAGAAAAGACATCCATTCATTCAATCAGACAAAATTCACATGAGCCAAGAAAAAGTAATGGAATTATTCAACTATGAAACGCTAACTTGTCCAGTTGGAGTTTAACCTGTGAACAAACAGCCCTTTCTCTGTTTAGGGGGAATGATAGCTCTGAGCATGACATTTATAAAGACTACTGGTGGCTGCACACTGCCCTCACAAGAGAGGAGGCCCATATTAGAAGTAACAATACATTCAAAAGCATGACATTAAGAATTATGGGCTCACTATGAGCCATGAAACATCCTGAAAGCTTTTAATATGCCACCCCATTGAGTACTTACTGCTGCCTTGTTTGGAAAACCATTCCATTTTGCATTTGACATGGTAGGAAGTAGAAACATGGGACTATTTGGTCAACATTTGAGTTGCACCTGCACGTTTTATACAAGTTACATGTGTGCTTTCCATCTTTATATACTTCTGCAATGAATGAAACACACCATTTGAAAACTGAGCTAGGTTGTGTTTGTGGGCCTTTACCCCTTGGCAGAGAGAGAAGGATGCGTTTGGAGAGAGACACTAGGCATTGGAAGCACGGCATCACTTGGCCTGTGCTGGCAGCTCAGATGCATTGGCTCTTTGCCAGTTGCACCACAACTGTGAGCTTGAGCAGCTGGGCTGCAGCCAGGCAGCCTTTGAAATGCTGTGCTTTCTCTAGGCCCATCAATGGTGGTCAGGATTGCCCTGGCGTTAATTTTGAGTACCAGCTTTGTAATACCGAAGAATGCCAGAAGCACTTCGAGGATTTCAGGGCCCAGCAGTGCCAACAGCGCAACTCCCACTTTGAATACCAGAATAGCAAACACCACTGGCTGCCTCATGAACACCCTGACTGTGAGTAGATACCATTATTTTTTCTGCCTGTGGACAGTCAGTTAGCTTGTAGCTTTGCTGACACCAAGCCCTTGCACTCTTGAGTCCACAGTGGTAACTTATGAAGAGGGATACTTACGGAGGCAACTCCTTCCAGGTTCCGGAGAGTCAGGCTAAAGAATGCCTCTCCCCTGAGAGGTGGGGATTGTGATAGACATGGTATCTGGCAAATAGCTCTTTCATCACCACCATGGGAGAGGACAATGACATCACCTGATTCAACTGAAATCCTCAACTAGGTAACCATTGCAGGGGGAAAATAGTACATTTACAGCTAAGTCAAGATGAGGAAAAAAAATGATGGCCATTTATCAAAGCAAAGACTATGCAGCCTTTTCTAAACCAGTTTTAAAAAATACTCTTGGAAATTTTCTTTTAATGTTTGACTTTTTCCATTAAATTCTGCATTAGATAAGCTCAAACTGAAATCTCTTATCATATTTCTGTTAGGTGAATTTTATTGAGTGCTGCTATTTTAAAGGAAATGTAAGCATGGATAGTTCAAAGTCTAACACTTTAGAACACATATCAGCCGGGTGATAGGATGACACCAAAGACTAAAGTAGTCAGGGTTCAAAATGTTACTGGGGTGAAGTCGGGTTTGAGTCACAGCTTCCTGAAAAGGTAATTTAGGTGACATCAGTTTTACCACCGTAACCTGCCTGGAGTAGTCTCAGTCTATACCTGACTAATGTCCCTACATTATTAGAACCCCTTATTATCTCAACACTGGTCCAGTTTAGATGAAATAAAATAATCATTCACATTTAAGCAAATGTGCATGGTGGCATATCTGTACTTTTCAGCTACTCCATGTTTTATTCATCTAGTATTTCATTTGCTTTTCAGGAAGCCATACTGAAATGTTATATCTTAAAGTAAACTGTACTTGTCAGACATCCTATTTTACAAAAGCTAACTTAAGCCTGCCTCTTCTGCAGCCAAAAAAAGGTGCCATCTTTACTGCCAGTCCAAAGAGACCGGGGATGTTGCTTACATGAAGCAGTTGGTACATGACGGAACGCGTTGTTCCTACAAAGATCCATACAGCATATGTGTGCGAGGAGAGTGTGTGGTGAGTTCAGATGACTGTCTCTGTGGTACCCACATTACCCCACAATTCTGCCTTTGCCATCACTCACAGGCATATTTGAAGTTATTTTCAACTGATTTGGTGTTTGGTTTGTCTGTTTGTTTGACAGTCTCCCTGTGTAGCTTTGGCTGGCCAGGTACTCAATTGTGCACGTTGGCTTTGAACTCACAAAGATCTGCCTGTCTCTGCTTCCTGAATGCTGAGACTCAAGGCATGTCCCACCACACCCAGCTCTCAACTCACTCTTGTTTGTAAGGTAACATTGAAATGACCATCTTTGAAGAGATCAAAAGAACTGGAGAAGTCATGCTTACTTAAAATCAATCTGGTCACTGCCTGAATCAAGATGCAAGAACAGTTTTAGGTACACTTTTGACATGGATAGATAATTTTCTAAGTAACTAAATCCAATATAGAGGAACCACATTTGTTTTAGGATTTTACTAGTGCCAATCTACTATTGTGAAAGACCTTTGTTTTTATAGAATTTAATACCTGCATATAGTGTGTTTTTATTGGTTCTACCTGTTTCCCTCCTTTCCAGTTCTTCCTCTTTTGTCCCCACCACATTTCTCTCCCAACTTCATGTGTTGCTTTTTACTTTTCTTCTCACCACATGGGCAGTGGTGGGACACATCTTTAATCCCAGCATTCAGTAGGCAGAGACAGGAAGATCTCTGAGTCTGAGGTCAGTCTGTCTGATCTACAAAGCAAGCCTGAGGACATCTAGGGCCACACAGAGAAACCCTGTCTCAAGAAAGTAGAAAAGAAAAACATCAAACCCACTACATCCTCTTTAGTTGTGTAGTGCTTCTGCTGCAACATGGATAGCTTTTCAGGGTCACAATCCCTCCCCCAAGTAGCCACTATTTGCTGATAGCTCCTGAATAGGGCTAGGACTTCATGAATCCCTCTCTCACCCAAGTGGAATTTTGGTGGCCTTGGTCTTGTACAGGTCTTGTACATGCAGTCACTGCCTTCTTGAGTTCATGTGTGTAGCAGCACTATCATGTTTACCAAGTAATATTTTCCTACAGGTATACCTTACTTCTAAGTCTCATAAGATCTCCACTGACCTGCCACAGTGATGCCTGAGCCTTGTGGGACAGTATATGTTATAAATGTCCAATGTTGAACTGAGCATTCCACAGCTTATTCTGAGTTTGGAGCAATTGGAGGTCTCTGTTTTAATTGCCATCTAATGCAAAAGGAAACTTATGAGGGCTGCGAGCTACATTAATCCACAGTTATAAAGACAAGAAGTTGGGGACAGTTTAATACTACATCTATTTAGCAAAAATAGTACTAGGCTGCCCTCCCCCTGCCCCTGCAGCTTATGATCTAGTCAGTCATAGATTTTTGTTGCAGTTGGTAGTACCAGGCATGAGGTTCATCTCATGGAGTGGACATTAAATACAATCAGAAAGTGGTTGGTTTCTCCCATACATTTGTGCCATTATTGGACCAGTGGGCACATCTTGTTAGGCAAATCTTTGTTAGATTTCACAGTGGGGCAAGACTATGAATGCTAGAGCTGTGAAAGCTAGCTTAATGGGGATGAAGCTTTCAGTGAACACGAGCTTGATTTCTCAGTAATCTGTGATACAAGTATGCAGTGTCTTCAGCAATAGGGTCTTCCCATCAAATTCTGGAGGGTACCCAAGAGAAATGACAACAACCTGTAATATTTGGAGAGGTCTATAGGACTCTACTGAGCAGTAACTTCAAAAGAGGTAGTCCATACCCTACACTGGGCTTTCTATTTGATAGCCTGTGGTGTCTATCTGAGAGGCATTGATCCCCCATTATAAAATAACTCCATTTAGTATCCTTTGATATATGTATGTGTAGTACATTTTAGTTTACAATAACATTTTGAATAAACATCAAAGTCTAATTTTGTTTAAATGATTAATACAGAATACTTCCAAGTGGTTCTAACCTTAAAGTTCTTGTCTCATTTAGTCTTTTTATAATGCAGTTTATTTTTGTTCATATTCAACTGTTACTGTGAAATTATCCATATTACCTGGAACAGTGTTCCTAACATCCCTTTCCTTTTCAATTAGCAAAAATGAAGTATGTTACTGTGTCACTATAACAGAATGCCATAGATAGGGTAATTTATAAAACCAAAAGAAAGCAAAGTGTACCACGGGGGGGGGGGGGGAACCCAGAGACAGATTGTAGGTTTTGTAGGTTCAAGCAGCCAAGCCAATAGATCTTACCCCTACCACACTGAAATGGCAATCCTGTCTCCATGAATCCTCAGAAGCAAAAGCTCGGAATCCCCATCTCCTCCTCATATTCCTTTCTCCACCCAGCTCTATCCTCCTATCTCCACCTCCCTAGTGTTTTGTAACTCTTGTGTAGGTCATGGTGGCCTTGAACTCACAAGAGATCCATCTACCTGTCTCCTGAGTCCTGAGATTAAAGGTGTGGACCACCACTGCCTAGCTTCTGCAGATAACTAGCATGGCTGTTTTTGCTTTCTGATACTTCAGACAAACTTTATTAAATCATAAATAGTATGTCACCACAGAAAAGCTCATGCTAAGTGTGTTTAGGTATTTTTGATGTATTATTCTGGAGCTGGAAAGCCCATGGTATGATGATGGTATCTTTTGGCATCTTCCTGTTGAGTCATCCATGCTAGAAGTTAGAAAAGACAAGGAACTGAGCAGAGGAAGGAACTGAGTCACTTTTAGGAAAGCAGAGGTCTCATGACCTAACCGTGGAGACTATTTGTTTATCTCATCTTACTGTTTTGAGATAACATCTCACTCTGTTACCCAAGCTGGTTCCAAACTTAATGTGATCCTCCTGCTTCAGCCTTCCCAGTGCTGAGATGAGACAGATGTAAACCCATACCTACCTGGCTTCCCCACATTTTATTAGGCCCTAACCACTCAACACTTTTGAATTGGGCATTACATGTCCAACCTAACCACTCAACACTTTTGAATTGGGCATTACATGTCCAACATAAACTGAAAACAGATATAAATACTAATAATGGAATATTACTGTCAACATTTTTAACCCTTGTAGTATTTAGTACTAAACATATGTCCAGTCCCTGCCCATTTGTATATCCAACTGGTAAGTGCAGTTGTATGTCATGTACCACATTTACTTCAAAGTCCTGCCCAGTCCAGAAAGCCTTCAGTAGTTACCTGTTGACTGTGAAAAATCTAAACTCCACCCGACCTTCAGGGTCATGCACAATTTGTCCCCTGCAGATCTTTCACAATTCTTTCCCATCATGCAACACCCATCACCTACATATAAATATTGATCTCTAAACCCACTCTCCATGAATGTAAAATCCTTAACTATTTGAACTTTTTTCCAGTTCTAAAATGACTTCTTACTCTTTTCCTTCAAGGCCCTGTGCGAGTCTCTGGTACTGTGGGAAACTTTGTTTTACATCCTAACTCGCTTTTAAAAGATAACAATGTTTTACAGTGTATGCCTGTTTTATTACTGAATGCCTTTATGAGTATGAGAGCAACGTGGAGAAAGCACCATGCTCTTGAATGGTAGAATTTTCTCCCTGGAATCTGCTTATTCTTTGCTTATAAATCTTGCTTGATGAATAGGACAATAATGCTGTGAAGACAAAGACATTTATTTAATGCCTAGACTATGACTCATTTTGCTATTTGATTTCACACTAGTTCTTCAAGAACCTGGGGTCTGAGAAATCATGACCACAGTGACAGTCTGCACAAGCTTGCTGGCCCCATGCCATCAGTAAAGGAGGGGTTCATCATGCGGGTTGTTGTTTACTACTGGGCAAACTAAAATTAGCCGTGTTTAACATCTTCTCTCCCCAGAAAGTGGGCTGTGATAAAGAAATCGGTTCCAACAAGGTTGAAGATAAGTGTGGGGTCTGTGGAGGGGACAATTCCCACTGTCGAACTGTGAAGGGGACATTTACCAGAACCCCCAGGAAACTTGGTAAGATGAGTGTCCTCATGAATTAATGCCCTTTTGTCCTATTTGATGTCTTGAGATATTTTTTTTTTTAATTTCAGGATTTTTTTAACAAGTATCACAGAAATTAACAGATAAGGAATACTGTATTAGTTCTAATACTTAGGAAAAAATCCTGTGCTATATGTTATGTGAATTAATAAAATGTGTAAAATGTGTAAAATGTGTATGGGGCTAACAGTTAAGTATATGGGGCATGTAACTTATTATCTGGAAAACTTTAAACATGTTCTATCATTTTCACTTATTTTTATTAAAAATGTGAACAATTTTATCTTGGTATATTTATAGAGCTAGCACCCATATATAGCATAGTCTTTAACAGCTTTTTAAACAAAATAGATGTATATTGTATGAAAATGCAAAGAAAAAAATGAGATATGATTGCTCATGTGTGTGTGCTCATTAGACCAGCTAAACATAAATTAAAGCTCCAAAACATGGAATACAAACCTATCCTCATGCATTAGGTATTATGTAAAAAAAATTGTACTTACATAAAGCAAACAATTTCAAGAAATTCAGCAGCTCAAGGTAAATGTGACATGATAATGCCATGAAAATCTCCTTAAATCTCCTATGGCACTGTATATTGGGGTTCTGTCTGATGGGATGAGAGAAGGCACAGAGAAATTTGGTTTGGGGCTGGGAGTTGCCTCCCAGGTCAATAGCACTTGCTGCTCTTCCAAAGGACCTGGGTTCTGTTCCCAGGACCCATATGGTGGCCCCCAACCATCTATAGCTCCAGTCCCAGGGGATCCAGTGCCCTCTTCTTGCTTCTGCAAGCAGTAGGCATGCAATTGGTTCACAGATATACATGAAAGCAAAACACTAAGTGATTACAGCTTATAGAAGAAAACATTAAAATGTTATATTAGTCCTTCCACATGGAGCAATCCTCACTGCCCATTTTTATACAAATTATACCTTGGCTACCCAATTCTGGTGAATTCTGAAATCAGATTTGCTCTGTGGTGTTCCACTCTTCAGATATGCTCCCTGATCCTTAATGCCTTTGCTATTCCTTCATGATGAATTATCAGGGTTTATACTTTGAATTTATTTGAAAGCAAATAATGCCACTTCTGGCTGTTTGCATTATTTTAACAAAGCAAACAAAATTGAATTGCAAATGTCACACTTTTGTTAATGTCAAATATAATTTTCTCTGCATTGCTATGAGAGGATGAAATATATTTGCTTTACTGAAGTTACATTTCTTTTTCTATTTGAGGGTGTGGAATAATTGGTTTTATTTTCAGGATGAGTTAATGTAAAGACACCTCTTTCTGTGATAATTCTTTCTGGATTTTGTGTAATGTAAGAACAAGATCCTGTTTTGCAGACCATCTCAAAAAATTATGCTAAACAAGAATCAAAGTCACAGGAACATGTGAAGTGTCCTTTCAGTCACTTAGACTCAAAGTGGCCAAAGATAATCTAGCCCCCATTATCGTGAATGTCAATCATAGTCATGCAATAGACTAATTAACCTTTTCCAACAGGCAAACATTTAAGCAAGAGATGCCATAAGGAACTCAAGTTTCTGGAAAATGAAATCTGCAAGTATTCAACTTCAAATCACCTCCATCATTTTGCATTCATGCCCAGTCTTGCTTTCATTGGCTATTAGTACTTTGTCAGCATTTGCTAACTACTGTAAATTTATTTTGACTTGAAAATTTTAAAGTTATAGAACATGTTTTATAATCTCACCCAATAAAATCTGTATGTATGGCTTATGGGGTAGTCAGTGAAGCAGCAAGACTTTGACAAACACAAAACCTCCACTAACTAATGGCATTCTATTTAAGGGAAGACAAGAGGCGCATTCGTTTTACCCAAAGGAGCTCGTAATATTTCTCTTGCTGAGACAAGAGAAACTAAAAATGTACTGGGTAAGTTGTAGTGCACTGCAGAAAGATGGGCATCCATAAACAACCTCACCCTGATGTGCACCCCTGGGCTTCTTAAGCATGCTGCATTTAGCTGTCACTTACTCAGGCAAACAGCACAGGCCCTGTGTTGAGCTGTACTTTAGGTTAAGATGCTAAAACCCCTGATCCTAAAAGACTACTACATTTATTCAGGGACCTAGTAAATACAGGAGTTGGGTAAGTCCACCTACAGACAAATGTTAATTATACATATACAAATAGCATTTTTTTTTTCTGATTCCATCAGTAATTATATATTTCTATCTGGGTTTCTTTTGGCATAAATCCTGGCTTATGTGAACTAGATGCTCTATAATACACTAAAAGTTTAGGTTGTATGATATCAAACTCAATATCCTCCTGCCTCAGCTTCACAGATACTGGGTTCTAAGCAGGCACCACCTTACCCAGATCTGATTCATTTATTGTTACTGGTCATGAGATATAACATATTAGTCTCTCAATCTGTTCTAGTGTTGATTTATTTTTATGGAAAATTGTAAGAGATCCTGGATATAATTTTAGGGCTTATGGTAATAAGATTTTTTATATAAAGTTCCAATAATCCATTTAAGGCTATTATGATTTCCTGGCTTAGATGATTGAGGCTAGAGCATTTATAAAAGCAGTACATAATATACAGCTGGTATTCAGTTTCTCTCAAGTATTTCTTTAGAGTGGGATTCTAAATATTAAAATATTTCAATATATAAAAGCTTAGCCATTTGTAGTGCCATAGGCTTTCCTAACAGAAGAAATATCACAAGCTTACCACCTAACAACTTTTATTAAAGCCACCACTTAAAACGGCAGTATGAAAACTAGAATAACACAGGGAGACTCAGGAAAGCCTAACTGTTTGCCTGAATTGTTGATGCAACTCATAGGTCAACACTACCTATGAATTTTCCTCCTCCTCGGTGGAAAAAATTCTTTTCCTCATGCAAGATGTCTCCGAGCTGTAGAGTTAATTCCTGAGATGTACCCTGCAGTTTATGGATGCCCTCTTCTGCACATAGGAGCCATGAGGATGCAGTGCTAAACTAACCATAGTGTTGCCTTTGTTTTCTCTGCTTCCTCCAACATTTGCTACACATGCAAAGGGTACCTTAAGATGTTTGATATACCCCCTGGGGCTAGACATGTGTTAGTCCAAGAAGACGAGGCTTCTCCTCATGTTCTTGGTAAGTGTTTCTGTCTATCAGCTCTGTTTTCCTTACACATAAACATGAAATGTCAAAGACACTCCACATGGGGATATGTATGTATACTATACATACATACATACATGAATATATATATATATATATATACATATATATATATATATTCATTAGCTGGATATTATGTGGAGTTTAATCATTTCTCCCAACTATCCTTACATTAGAACAGATGTTTAAAACAAACTTCAGTTTTTGGTAGGAAAGGGTTGGTTCATAACTCCTGAGAAAATTTTACAAGTTTATATTTATTAATCATATGTTATGTATGCATCCTCTGGATCCCAGAAGAGGGTATCAGATCCATTATAGATGGTTATGAGCCACCATGTGGTTCCGGGGATTGGAACTCAGGACCTCTAGAAGAGTAGCCAGTGCTCTTAACTGCTGAGCCATCTTCTCCAGCCCGAAATTTATCATTTTATGTTGAAAGTGACTGATGGATAGTTTTATATAGATTTTTAGAGAGGTTTATTTGTAGATTTAAAATTGTTTACAAAGCTGCCACAGGAGAATTTTTGCAATTTCAATATTAATTTTTCCTAATACCTGGAAGCTGTCTTTTTTTTTTTTTTTTTTTTTTGATTGGCACAGAGAAGTGTACTTGCGTGGTTGGTTATAATTTCCATTCTTTTTCTCTCTTATGAGAAAACAAACTAGAATGCCCTGTGAATGCAGTTTGCAGGCACAACTACCATGCTGAAATTTGAACACTATGCCTGTTCACCCACAGAAAATTAGATCTGTCAACTCCGTGAATTTTTGTAGCAAATTGGTTTTTATTCATGTTTTGGTAGTTCAAGAACTATTTAATTATATTCACTGTCAAATAGCATAACATATAAGCATTTGCTCATAATTCTTTTACTATTACTAGTTTTTAAAATCCTTCTTGTTCATCCTAGAATTATTGTAAAAGGTTGAGAAATAAATATGAAATAAATGGTTTTCACCAAAAAATATTTTCAGTAATATTAGAATTATGAAATGTTTTCTCACTTTGTGATAGATTAAATTTACACTTTGGAGTAACAGGTCTGTAATGAATTAAGGATTCTAACAATATCAAGTGCTCAATAGTCTGGAAGTTTTATTGTCATCAGAAAAATGATTGGCCTGGAAATCATTTCAGCTCTTTAGGGTGGCCATCAATATTTACCAATCTAAAGAGTTTGTATCCTTTATATCCAAAGAGATCCAGCTTCCAAGGAAATGTATAGGATGACAGACTTATAATCTGCTAGTCTCTTTGACAATGTTTTCAAATTGGAATATTTGCAAACATTATTTTTCACCCTTTTAAACCATTTTAATCTATTTACCTCAGTAGGAATGCTTCCAATGGTTTAAATGCCTAGTGCAAGGAATGGTTAGAACTAACATTCATTTTGACAGCTTAATACTAATAAGGCAGAGGAGCCATTGGTTTTTATTAGTAAAATGGGAGAGATCCGCTATGGCTCATCAACACTGGAGTCTGATAAATGTGTGCCTATCAATCATTTTCCTTTGTTTAGCTATTAAGAACCAAGCAACAGGCCACTACATCTTAAATGGCAAAGGGGAGGAAGCCAAGTCACGGACCTTCATAGATCTTGGTGTTGAGTGGGATTACAACATAGAAGATGACATTGAAACTCTCCACACGGATGGGCCTCTACATGACCCTGTCATTGTTCTGGTATGTGCCATGCAGCATGTATAGAGTTGGTTTTGTTTATAATAACTTTATAATTTAACTTACCTGAAAACATGCTGAGTAATATTTCCTTGTTTTTTTTTTTTTTGAGGGGGGAGGGGAATCTATTTATGTCTCCCTGTTCTGTGTACATTCTCATACAATTTAATAAGTATATTTTACTTGAATAATTTATATTTAGCTACAAGCTTACTATTTTTGATGTCCCCTTTAATCCACTATCATTTTACCTTCTGTATGGAGAACTTTGGCAGTTTTTGTGGTATGAGCATATTATCAATGAATTTTCTCAGCAGCTTTCAAGTTATCCAAAATGCCAGTATTTCCCCCTGAAAGAGACCTACAAGTATTGGGGTTGTTACCAGTTCTGTAGTTTTGATTTACAGATGTCTTTATAATTACTCACTGAATAAGTATGTTATTTATAACATAAAATGATTCTATAATAATCAAGAATTCTACATCAGCAGGTTTTTGAACTTAGAATTCTGGTAAAATTTCTGAGACCACATCACCCACCTTTATATTATCAGAAAATCCAGTGGCATGAAAATCTGTTAATTATTTAGTTATCTCTTGGTGTTTGGACAATGCTGAAGAGATGTACTGTAGAGAAGTCATTATGTTGTGTGCTATACTAGCAGACCATGTTAATTATTGGAGAAGTACTTATTGCCTTCAGGGACCTTAAGGGAGTTGAGAGATTATCAGTGAGGAAGATCTGGTCACCTGCAGCAGGTACACACATGAGCTTATTTGATGGATGGTTGTTAAGAGCCATCACAGCCCTGAGGAGGGGTTTGCCTGCCTAGGAGACTCAGCAGCCCCTCAGTCTGCTCTGAGAACTCTTGTGGGAAACAGACCTAGCCCATAGGGGGTGCTGTCTCATATATGGAGCAGGCAGCTTCTATGTGATACTGATTAGAACTGAAAAGGCCTAATAACGTATACAAAATTATAGAAAGATAAGATGGAAACAAGTGATGTTCAAAACTTTTAAAGAGATAATCTCTAGAACTTCTTAAGGTTTTGTTTGGCCCCTTTTAAAACAATTAGAATATGAACACTGTTCAAAATGTCAGAGCTCCAAAGGAAGGCTTTCGAGCTCCCAGGTCACAGTCGCCTCTGGGATAGTGTGCAACTAAGAGGCTAATAAACAGCAGGCATGTTTTCCTCACTGGCAGGACCTCTCTCAGCTGGACCCCCAATATTTATGTTGAGAGTCTCATTTCTATGGGAACTCTGAATATGGTGTGCCAGCTTTATGAAGATACTTTTAAAGGATTTTACATTACTATTTTAATTAATATGATAACTTCAAGTTTCATCACAATGTTCCATGTTACTGTACTTTGTTCATATTCACCTCACTGCCCTTTTGTTATTTAAATTAAAAACAATCTTACTTTATATACAGCTCCCTCTCCCTCCTGTCTCCCATGCCTCCCCCAGCCCCCCCCCAAAAAAAATCATTGACTCTGGCATGACCCCAACCTGCAACCTTTGAGTCTCTTAACCATTGCCCTTCTTTCCCTCTCTCTACAGCTGGTACCTTTCTACTCTAGTCTGACACCCGTTCAGAGACCGAACATGTAATGTCTGATTTACTTTCCCTACCAAGTACACACTGCCTTGTTCCCCTTCCTAATTCTGGCTGATTTCACTTAGCATGCTCACCACTTCCATGCATTTTGCTGAAAATGCCGTAAGTTCATTCTTAATGGCTGGATAAAAACCCCAGTTTCATAATACCAATTACTTTATCTGGTCATCTGTTGATGGACATCTAAGTAGGTTTCTTGTTGTGAATAATTCCGCAGTAAACATGGATATGCAGGTAGCTCTATAGTATGTTTAGATTCCTTCCAGTATAGCCAGTTCGTATAGCAACCTACTATATTTTGAGAATCCTCCATACTGACTGCTTTAGTTTATACATGGCGACCAGTGGGATAGAAAGTTCTCTTTCCCTGTATCTCCACTAGTATTTGTTATCCCTTTTATCTTGATGATAGCCATTCTGAATTGTATGGATGGACTCTCAACATAGCCCATTCCTAGGCTGTAGCAGGTTGTCCAGAGTGCTTGTGTGATTTCTCCTTGTTACCATGCCAAGGGCACCTTAGTCTTAACCAGTGGGTTCCCACTCAAGATGACCATGAATTGGGAGATGCCCTGCTTTTCTATGGCTGAACACTGGAGGAGTCCCTTTGTCACCAAAACACTCAGTTCAGCTTTTGGATGTACTTCTAACTCTCCTTCCTTGCCAGGGAGCCATAGTTAGAGCTCTGTGTCTGTTTCCTTTATGTTGTGTTCTTTGTTTTTCTGATTCACCCTGACACACAGAGGTAGCTTTGACTTTTGTCATCTTGCCTGAGAAATGAAGGATTTTTTCTTTATGCTCATCGTTTAGCTGTTTCACTGTGGTATGCTCAGTGGGCTTTGTATTGATCACATTTAGGGTTCACGAAGAATTTGACTCTGTAAGTAGTAAGATGTTTTATACCACATTTGAGTAAATCTCTCATTGTATCTGTAAGACTTCTACTCCATGTGTATTCATGGGATTCATTTCTGCACCACTTCAGACCCTCCACTCTAACCTATCTACTATCCGGTATTTTCTTCCTGTCAGCTGGTGAACTTTCTTTCCATTTGGTAGTGTTTTGCTTGGTTTTGTGTTTCCTTTACGTTTATTCGGGATACCAACATGCGCTTTGAAACTGAGATCTCCAAGCTGTTTGCTTCTGCTGGAAGCTTCTATTTTCTCCCCGATAGGTCACAGTCCCCTGCTTTTGTTTACTTTACACTTATATGAATAGTTCTTTGGCTTTCGTCCCAAGGCTCTTAAGTCTTGGATTGTTTGAAGCCTCTTGTTCTTCTTCAATAGGACTGGTCTGTTTCTACTCAACCTTATGTTTATAACATGAATCCCTCAAGCATTACTGAGCCCTCTTCACTCTGCTGGAAAAAGTTCCCCTGATGCCCAGTCATAGCTGTTTTGGAGTCTCTTCACCCTGCCATCTTGCCTTAGCTTCTGAGAGCACACGGTATCTCCAACTAAACGTGCATAGACCAGGCCTCTGGGTCAAGACCTGAGAGCTATTGGGCCTCCCTTCCATGCAGCTTTCTCTTCTTCAGGGCCTGCATATTCCAAGCTATGACCTTGATATGATCAATGTAGCAATGCCTCAAGGCTCATCCTTGACTTCTGGACAAAGATCTAGATGAAGATGATTCTGAGCCCTATCAGGACATAAGAAGAAGGCGTGTGCTTTTCTTTCAGGGAACACTGTCATCTGCACATTCCACCACAAATGTTCTCTCAGGCTTTGTTGTAGGTTGGAGTTCCATGCTAGGAGGGAATTCGACTACTCTCATGGCAGCACAAAAAGCATCTATTTGGTTTGAAATGTGTTGTTGGATGCCTTATTCCAAATCAAATGTCTAAATTCCTATTATGCAAAATCCAATTTCTCCACTTGTTTTTGTTTTCTCCTTCATAGATATTATCTACTGAGATGCCCTTTCAGACCTGCTGTCCACTGTTTTTCACAGGACTTGTCAAGTACAAATGATTAGAAATATTTCCCATTACACAGCTTATCTTTTCCTTCTCTTAGCTTTACTCAAGTTGTACTCATAAGGGTTGATTTTTGAAAAATTGATTAATATCTAGGTGTTATGTTTTGCTCATTTTTAAAAGGTTTTACATGTTCTTTTAGGTTTATAAATTGTTTGTAACCAATTTTATATAAACAAAGCTATTTTTGCACATACTTGTCAATATTAGTTCTCTGTTGCTCATGACAAATTCCCTCAAACACAGTAAGTAGGTAAACAAAAGCATAACCCACAGTGTCTATGGATGATGTATCTGAAAGCAGGTCATTCAACCACATGAGGCACAATGACTTTCACAAGGTAGCTGGTGGCACTGTGGTCGCCACCCTGCGGCTTGTCTACCTAACAGGGCTCTTCCCCTCTGGCTCCATCCACAGCTGTTGAAAGGCCTCAGCATATGATGCCAAGCTTCCCGAGTGGTGGCTGGCAGGGCTTCTTTCCTCACCACTTGAGCCTCTCCAGAAGCTGATTAAACCACTCATAGTACCTGGCACAGAACTCCCCTGGAGTGAGCAGAGAGACTGAGCCAGTGCAACAAAGGGCAGAAGTCTTGGACATGTTGAAACTATGGCAGTGACCGGAAATGAGTACAGATTTTAAAAAGAGGGGAGAATGGCTAACAAGCCTGATTAATGGACAATGGGCAAAGAACATGCAATTCCTAAGTTAGGGAAATCTATGCTTTAAAATGGTATTTTTCTCATCCAATAAACCGAGTATTTAAAAGTTAAAAGGCACAGATGTCTTCAGTTTTCCAAGGAAAACCAGAAGTCCCCACAAAGACACATCAATTCTACTGCATATGAATGTTCATTGATCAGTACTGGTTATGTTCACACAGATACACACAATGATACCATTTTGAAGGAATATCCCCAAATCATAATAGTTACTGTGATTTTTCTCTTTTTCTAAAATGTTTTTCCCCATTCCCTCCAGAGGGAACATTGCCATTATAATAAAGCATTTTATTATAAAGAACTTTGAAATACACTGAAGAGGTGGTATAATTTAAGGTGACCCAATTTAAGGTAACAGAAAATAAGTTATTTTGATAATAATCAGCATTTTCTCTTCAAAGTTTGTCTTTAATATCCCATGCTACCACTTGAATTGATGGGAACAAAAACATTCTCAGAACTATTTTAAACATGTTCTCGTTTTAAGAATATCAATATTCTGAAATGTTTAGGTTTGTAGTAAAGTGTCTAGCTGCTTGCCTATTAATTGCATCTCTCTCACATACATATGTATTAGATCATACCTCAGGAGAACGACACACGTTCTAGCCTGACGTACAAGTACATCATCCATGAAGACTCTGTACCGACCATCAATAGCAACAATGTCATCCAGGAGGAGCTGGATACCTTTGAGTGGGCACTGAAGAGCTGGTCTCAGTGCTCCAGACCCTGCGGTGGAGGTAAGAACTGCATACATTCTTAAAGTAGCTAATCGTTATATATAGGTATATGTAATAACAATATGTTTACTTATGGAACTCCATACACACATCACACCCTTTCCCCCACTGGTCACTTTCCTCATCCCATCTGATTCTCTTACTTTCATGTCAATGTTTTTTTTTTGCATATAACCAGTAAATTTTATGTCATATAAGTCATACAAAAAGACAGTCTAATAACTGTCCCTAATTTGAAGCTGCAGTTGGAGAAATACAGAAACAACCAAACTCTAAATACAAAGTTGTTGTAATTAAGAAAAGCAGCACAGAATAGAAAGACACCATTTGACAGGGTTCAAGCAAACAGGGTTTTTTTTTTTTTTCATTATTTAAATTAGGGAAAGGGATTATAAAAAGGGGAAAGGGAAGCTGGAAGACCAGCCTCTGGAGATAGAGATGGGAGGTAGGCAGGGCCCTTTTAAAAGGGAACATAGTGAATGTGCACAGATGGTGCTTTTAGTAGCTGGGGGCATATCCTGTCAGGACCCCAAGGACAGGCCAATACAGATGCTAACATACATTAGTTATTTCTCAGAATTTGCAAAGGGATTGATTCCACTTAAAACAACAGCAGACCATACTATCCCCTGCTCTTTTATCTCTGGTCCGTTATAACTTGTGATTAAGGTGCTACTGTGTTGAACACATTTCCAAAATCTAAAACGGCCTTCAATCCAGATCACTCTGGTTCTGCCTCTCTTCTCCATGTGTATGCGTCACTTTTCTATTTGAGCAGTTAATGACATCTTTCTACCTACCTACCTACCTACTTACCTACTTACCTAATTATGCTGTCTTAGGGGCTAGCTGCCATACCAAATGCTTCATCTATCCATGTGTCAATGTTCACAATGGCTCTGTGATATCAGTACTATCTTTATTATACTGACAGTGAAACTAAAACACAGAGATGAGAAGTGGGTTTCTGAAAGCAGAGAATTCAGACCAGGTTAGCTGACCAATAGGCTGCCTAGCACAACTTCTTTCCTTTCCCCAGAAAAGATTCATGAGATGGACCCCAGTTTCATCGGTTCCTCCCATCATCTATCTGGCTAGCTCTGCACTACAGATACAGAATAGTTACAATAATTAAGAGAAAAATATTTGTACTAGGTAATTTGGGGTAATGTAGTGAGATAGTCCTTCTGTGGCACTGACCACGCCCATTGGGGGTGGAGCCATGGGCGGAAGTGACCTGTGGAAGGAGGTCGGAGGGGGCCAGGAAAGGCGCTCTCTTTCTGGCATGACTGGGACAGGAGAGGATCGGGTTGAATTTCCTGGTGTTCGTCTGTCTAGGTTGTAAGTTATTTCTCCCTGAATAAACATCTATTCGGCCTATTTGTTTATCCTGATCCTTATTTACCGCAATAGGGTAAGCCAGTTTTTAATTAAAATTCCATACTGTATTTCTATAGTGTGTCTGGAAAGGGACTTTTAAGAATGACACTCTTTCATCATTGCAAGATAGATGCTGACTTAATTTGGAGTCTCCCTTTTTGTGCTTGACATCTCCATGGACCTCAGGGTTATCACTGACATTTTAATACACCTGGCATCTGTCCTGCCTCACCAGGCTTCCTTCACTATTTTGGAAGAGAAGATTATTGCAATTCCTCTACTGACTTTCTCCTCTACTTACATGAAAATGTTTTTAAGTTAATGAATGTGTCAGATTATATTGTCTTCCCAATTAAAGTCCTTCAGTCAGCTGACATGTGGCTCTGAAGACATAAAACCATTCTAGTAGTGTTCTTGTGCAAAGTTAATAAGGTGAGCCTCATTACTGGGGACCATTAAACAAAGCATATTGTAATGGCATCACACAAAACAAGTGGCATGTATGTTTCAAGACTAGTAAATGCCATAGAGATGGAGTTTGGGACATTATTCCTGCTGGTAGAAGCTGAGGAGCCTTGGAAATTAAATGATGAACAAGGTCCCTAACTGGAAAAGCCTTGCTGGAAAGAAACATGACAAGGACAATTGCAGGTTCTGAATTTTCAATTTGTACAGGTTTTTTGTTGTCTGAGTTTGTTTGGTTTACAAATATCAAAGTAATGAATGTTGAGAGACCTTTGATCAACCATTCACTATAACCCTCAGGCCCAAATAAATGCTTGTCCAGGCTCTTTCTTACCTCCTTCCTCTTCACACATGACATGTTCTCCACCCACCAGAAGCACCTGCCCCACATTTTTTTTTTCTGCATGTGACATGGATGGCAGGCATATCATTTCTTTTAGGCAACACAGTTTAAGCTGCATTGCTCTGCTCAAGGAGGTATTACTCTCTAAGGCGTCCCATCAGCTAAGCTAGTGGCTTTTTCTGTGTGTTCCTTTATGCCCCTGCATAAAGTTCATCACTGACCTGTGTAAAGATCTATGCTCAGCTTTGATCCCCAGGGTGGTTTTCATCTCTGACATTGCAGTGTGAACATTACATCTTCACTCACAAGTGCACGGGTACTGCTTGACATGTTTTAGCATTTACTAAATGTTATGTTCTGAGAAAATGGGTGGGCTTTTCTTTTAAATGGTAACACTCAGAGTGTTCCTGGCACAGTATGTGTACTCAGACATTTGCTAAAAAAAAAAAAAAAAAAAAAAAAAAAAAAGGCATGAGAGTCAATATCCAAATGCATAACTCAAGTAGGTGGATAAACAAAACATATGTTCTATTCCAGGTTTCCAGTATACAAAATATGGATGCCGAAGGAAAAGTGACAATAAGATGGTGCATCGTAGCTTCTGTGAGGTCAATAAGAAGCCGAAACCCATTAGACGCATGTGCAACATTCAGGAATGCACACACCCACTGTAAGCCCTAAATTATATGTGAGCCTGCTGCCATAGCTGGAATGGGACTTCATTATTTCATTCAAAGCTTTTACATTTACCTGTTGCCTCTTGAGGGAAATGACAAAGTTATTGAGTTTCTTCCAAAGATATCCATTATTTGAAAGCCTCTACATACCACATTTAACTTTTTTTGGTTTTAACAATATGAACTTATTATTTTGGTGATATCTGAGGCTGGTTTTCATGTGTATTTCAACAAGAGAGTCATATTGCAAGAACAGATTATAGCTTTCTTGTGAAACTGTACTATTCACATGTAAACACTCAGGTATCCTGTTACTTAGCTACAGAGCTCTACCTCAGCCTGCCTCTCACCTTCCTCTTGGAGTTCCCTGGTTTCCTGAGTTGGTTACATCTTATATCTTGGTTCATCTATCTATTTCAAGAGGTATTAGCTTCTTCAGGAACTTAAACAAAAAAGTCTAAAGTATATGGTTACGAAAAAATGTATTGGCACTGCTCTCATGCTCTCACCTTTGGCCTCTTGGAGACACCTGTGTAAGTATATAATACTGTGTTTCCCCCAGAATCTCAAAATCTGTCCCATTGGGGGCTGGACTCTAGCATTGCTGCTGAAAATTTAGTGGTCATTTTGATTTTCAGTTCTGTAGGACATATGTTTGTTCTCTTTCTTAGTTCCTAGAGCCTTGTTCTCAGCCAAAGGAAATTTCCCAGTGATGAAAGGGACCAGAAGAACATCTTTCCTAGCAGACTGTGCACTTGTAGATTTCATTTAATGTCAAATAACCACATTTCTGATGCACAAGTATATTTTGATAATATTAAAATTGAGGTAATTAGTATATACCTAGAGTCTTCACTGTTTTGAAATCCACCCCACACTACTGTTAGCTATACTAACTATGCTTCTCAGGAGATCGGCCAAACAGTTTCTCTAAAGGCAGCTGAGTCCTTTGTCATCTCTGCATTCCCTTCTGTCCCCACTACTTACTACATAGCTCCCTAAGTCAACGAGTTCTTAAGTCAACGAGTTCTGCTTTCTCAGATGCCATGCATGCATGTATATCTGATCTTGTCTTTCTGTCTTTCCCTGCTTCCATCTGCTCAGTCAGTATGCATACACTTGAGGCACACGGTTAGTTTATTCCTTCTCTAACCTTGAAATCCTAACATATAACCATGTCAACATTTAGTGCTCTTTGTGATTCACAGTGTAAGACCTAGTGTGTCTACATGAAATGTAGCATTTAGAAATAAGGAATTATGCTCATCTTTGAAGGCCTCTAGTTAGAGAAATGCCCATGAAAGAGCCGGAGTCACAGTGGACACTCAGTTTTAATGCACTGATGGTGAGAATGTTTCATAGGAAGCGGTATTGAAAATGACGCTCAGGAAACTTTATTAGGTACATTCAAAGTTGTATTAGGTACATTCAAAGTTGTACTTTCTATCATGGCCTGCAAGTATGATCTTTCACTCCGGTCCACTAAGGTCCAGTAATAATGAAAGTGAGTAAGCGTGATACCTCATGAATAAGACTGTTAACAGATTTCCTTTTGTTGTTGGGAGGTACCTAGGCATTACACTGTGGGGATGCTCACATTCTACCTCACTGTTCTCCCTCTTGCTCCCACAGTTGGGCAGCAGAAGAATGGGAACACTGCAGCAAAAGCTGTGGCAGCTCCGGCTACCAGCTCCGCACTGTGCGCTGCCTCCAGCCACTCCATGATGGTACCAACCGCTCTGTGCACAGCAAGTACTGCCTGGGGGAGCGTCCTGAGAGCCGCCGGGCCTGTAACAGAGTGCCCTGCCCAGCCCAGTGGAAAACAGGGCCCTGGAATGAGGTAAGTTGCTTGTTAGTATGCAGTGTGTCAATAGAGGAACTGTCACATTTTCTAATCATGCTAGAGAGGCTAGGATTTGCAGCTAAGAATGGGTGGAAGGAACAAACAGTGTTTGTATCTTGTGACATGGAGGCCCCTGAGATCATGGATGACTTCTCTCATCCTACTTTAAGTTCCAATCCACCACAGGATGCAAGGCCCTGGTAACCCCCCCCCACACACACACACACATGTTCTCTCTCTCCTCTATCTTCATTCTAGCTGATAAGTAGATTTACTGGGTTCCAAATTATGCTTGTTCAAGCCTACTCTTTTCATGCAACTTGTCCTTCCTTTTCTCTGGTCTAGCATTATCTCCCCGCTCCACCAAGGCTCATCACTGTAGTCCAAACTCCTCCCTATCTGTGGTCCCTTCTAGCAATCCTCCTCTGCCTTTAAAGGACAGGATTAGCCCTAGACTGCTGCTCAGGAAAGAACATTGCAACTCATGTCTTAGTCTGCTCTAGCCTTCAATCCAACGACAGTGTGCTTGCTTCCCTGGTAGGCAGCCACAGCCTGGAGTCAAATGGTATTGGATGACTGGCTGGCTCATTGTTTTATTGTCTATATTATCACCTGTTCTTGATATTTCTAAGGATTCACAATAAGAGGGCTTATAAAAAGACAGAGCTTCAAAAAGCAGGCACAGGAGCAAGTGAAGATCATGCCAACAAGTGAGGAACAGGCAAGGACCAGTCATCACACACGATAAGATGGAGAATTACTGCTCATTCCCCTTAGAGACGGAACTAAGCTTCTCTCAGCCCTACCCAACTCTTCCTAACTCAAAAGTACAGAAGTCTCTCAGCTTAGTTTGGGAATGCTTTTCAGTAAATTCTGCTCTCTGAAAAAAAAAAAATACAGGAGTTGGGGGCTGCAATAGCAGGACCTGGTGAGGGAACCAAGTATGAACCCAGGGTTGTCTGGCCTCAGGAGCTTTGTGCAGTACCTCCTCCTGAATGAGGGAACTCCAGAGTTTGTGTGTGTGTGTGTGTTTCTGGGAGGTCCCCATGAGCATGCATGTGCCTGGTCTTGGGAAAAATCAACACCTATAATTTTAGCCATTGTCTCTGTAGTGTTCAGTGACCTGTGGAGAGGGAACAGAGGTGAGACAGGTTCTCTGTAGGACTGGAGACCACTGTGATGGCGAAAAGCCCGAGTCCATCAGACCCTGCCAGCTGCCTCCCTGTAATGGTAAGTGTATATCACTAATGGATCTTACCATTATGTTGCTGAACAGAATTGTTGTTGGAGAGCAGAATTTGCTTTTAGGATAAGATGTGGAATTTGCATTTTCTTACCAAGAAATAGTCAAATGAAAACACCTTTGGAAATAATAGTCTGAGAAAATTGTTTGACATAGGACCAGCATCACTAAATTACCAAAACCACTACCTTGGTGACATTGGGTGTGGCCATGTCATCCTTACACATGTCCTTTGATGTGGGTTTCTTTTGAGAACTATGTGCATTTTTATCTATTCTTCACCTTTATAATGATGTGGAATTATAGTTAGAATTATTACAGCAGGCTCTGAGATAAAATTATTTAGATATATAGAACTCAACCTTAACACCCTTCTGAATAACTGTACATACATACATACATACATACATACAGTGATCCCAAAATAGACATCTTGTACATATGTGCTAAAGTCAAGCATTTGGCTGAGTGACCAACTAATTGTGTTTTGAAAGTGAAATATGTTATATTTAAAATGTGAACTGGGGAGGTGACTCAGTGGGTAAAATGCTTGCTAAACAAGCATGATGACCTGAGTTCAGGCCCCCACGCTCATGAATGACTACACACGCCTGTAATTGCAGCTCTGGAGAGGCAGGAACCCTATAATAAGAAAGACATCTGGCATCTACGTCTTCACCACTGTGTCCCCACTTCTCTCTACCCCGATTTGTATAACTCTGCTAAATCTCAAAACTAAAAAGTTTTCCCCTCAGCATCTACTCCAATACGTAATATTCTCTCCCTTTTAATAACAAAAGTGGCAAAGCATTATTTCTTTAAACAGTTTCCTATTTGTTACAATTTAGGCTCCTGGTGTTTAAATATTAAAAACAATTGTCATTTGAAATGACAAGAACCAGCTTGGCTGGGTGCGGGGCGGGGGTGGGGGGGTTGCATAGGACTCATCTATTTGGCTGCTTCTTTTGGAATGTGTCTTCAGTCTAGAAATTGGCAGGGAAGGATTAAAAAAAGCAAACTATACCCAATTAGAAGCTTTAAAATGCACATTTGCTGTTGAGACTGGACACTTTCCAGGTAAACCCTATTGAATGTTCTAGCTAGAAGGGACCTATGTTTGTGTAAATGGCTGCCTGTCAGCATAGACATACTTGCTCCTCTTTGATTTTTACAACACCTCCACCCACTACCATCAATGTGCTGAGGAAACAGCAGCATAACCGTGGTACTAGTTAGTGTGTCCCTGCCCCTTTCCGGAGCCTTACTGCTCTGAGTTATTTCAATCAAGCAGTACATTCTCAGTGTACTGTCCCAATCTGATGACTTTTGGGGTCTGTTATAAAGCTCTTTGCCCAGAGTTCTCATGACCTGGCAAGTGCTATGTGAGAAGGCTAGAAAAGTTTCCTTTATTTTAATATTTTGATTTTGTTGTCTGATTATATTTGGTTAGGATTCTTGTTTGCAAATTTAAGCCTTCTTGTCCTTTCCTAGAAAAAAAAAATGATCATGAAGCGTTGTTTGTCCTCAGTATCTTCCCCTCATCTATATACAGAAGCATATTCTGGCCCTAATGAGACTTGGGCTACCCAAGTGCTCTCCTCCAGCCATCAGTAGCTGGCTAATGGGGTTAGTATGGTGGAGACAAAGAATATAAGGCTCTCTCAGCTGCTCTCCTCCAGCCATCAGTAGCTGGCTAATGGGGTTAGTATGGTGGAGACAAAGAATATAAGACTCTCTCAGCCAGAGTCTACAGCCTTAGTTACAATGTCAGAAGCAGTTTGTTTAGATAGACATGCAGAAAACATTCATAAGTCCTCAGTCACTAATAATGTCACCTAGTTTCTAACCTCAGCAAGCATAAAGCATTCAAATTCTATGTAACACAGTTGTCTGTAGATGTCGTGACAGTATGATCCATTCTACAACTTGGAGTATGGACATGGAATGACACGAAACAAGGAGAGCTTAGTCTGCAGCTGATGTCATCCACCTGACCCTCTTAAAGGGCCATTTCAGTTTCAGAGTTGTGTGGCAGATTCCTTATCCTAAAATATTTTCTAATATATTATATAAAAGAGCATGCTGTGATTTTAAGTGACAATGGCCCATAGGTGCCATAATTCTTTCCTTTTTAAATGGGTATAGGAACACATTTTGAATCTATAAATATCCTGATTCTTATCTGTAAACATAAAATGCTGTCAGCTCCAAGAAATCAAATGTAAACATGTGACTTAGAATATAGTTGACATATTTTATAGAGATGTTTTGTTTTAGAGCAAAGCCTAAGAATGTCTAGTAGTAGACATAAAACTTACTTTCAGACCAAAGAATTCTACCTTAAAATGGACATTGCCTTTAAGCAAAACTTTAAATTTAGTCAGTTACACTGGGGTGTTTAATATCCATCTAAGTTATTGTAGAAGCAACTTATCAGAAAGGCAAACTTCACTATCACACAACTAAAAATGATGTTCCCATCATCTCCAGAATGAACCCACTTTTCTCCTTCTACAATCACATACCAAAGACAAAATTCCCCAATGTCTGCTGGAGTTAGCACAGAACTGGCCATGTCAATACTGGCCATGTCAAGTGCTTGGTAGAAACGGTGTTGCTTTGTTCAGCTAGGTGTGATGGAATATGCTTAGAGGCTAACCTGGAGAGTGCAGTGAGGTCCTGACTTGTAAAAAGTAAAAATAAAATCAAGTTATTGGAGTGAATTCACCCTGTGGTTTCTATTTTTAATTCAAAGGCTCGTATATTGATTTCACATATCACTGGGATTTATTTGTAGTTGTCAATAACTGTCATTTCTTTCAACCTTCTATGTTTAAGCATATGTATTTTTTTCTTGCTTTTTTGCAGATGAGCCATGTTTGGGCGACAAGTCCATATTCTGTCAAATGGAGGTGCTAGCACGGTACTGCTCAATACCAGGGTATAACAAGTTATGCTGTGAGTCATGTAGCAAGCGCAGTGGTACCCTACCACCACCATACCTTCAAGAAGCTGCTGAAATCCATAGTGATGCTATCTTTGGTCCCAGTGACCTTCCTAGGTCTCTAGTGATGCCTACACCCTTTCTCCCTTACTACTCAGGGACCCATGCTGAGAAGAAATCCTTGAGTAGCACATCTTCCATGGCAAGTCTAAATGCAAATGCTGCTTTCAGAGCCAGCAGCCGACCTAGTGCTAACTTCCCCCAGGAGAAAATCCAGGCTGGAAGAAAGATGCTGGCCTCAGTACCATCCTCCTCATCCATAAAGATGGATCACTTCCTTTCTGCCTCACCCGTGGCTGCTGCACCCTCCCTTGCTGCCAGTGATTCAATAGGTGCTTCTACCCAGACAAGAACCCCAAAGAAAGATGGAAAGAATATTAGCAAGAGACATCCAGTCAAGTCAGCCACCTCAGAGAGATGAGAAAGCAGACCTGTGGAGCTAGAGATGAAAGGGAAACCCGGGCAGCCACCCTCCCTGCATGGTGCATACAGCTTTGTTAAAAAGCAGGACCCTCCACACCAGGTTTACTCTTGCCCTCAGTAAATGGAAGGACAGGAAGTGCTGGTTCACTTTTTAGTTGCTTCCATCCATCTCCTGTTCTGCATCAACCCATTTACCAGAATCCATTGGAAGGAAGCCCCAAAGACTGTTCGCAGAAGCAAAGAGCCCAGCTGCAGTGGCCCCTGCCTAGAAGCCCAGCTTTTGGGAAACAAAGGCAAAAGGATAGCTGCCAGTCCCTGGCTAGCCTGCAATGCCTCTCTCCAAAACACAAAAGAAATGGAAAATGGTTCAACGTGTTGGTTGCTCTCAAAGGAAGGAAAGAGCCCGGAGCCAATTGTGCATATCAGCCGATTACTTGTCTGTCTTTAAAAAGTTACAGAAAAATATACAAACAGATGCCAGTGGTTTACGCTTCAAGAAAATTTTGGAAATAATTCATAGACTTGCATTCCTATTTATCTATATTAGAAATACTGTATGAGCAAATTTGCAGCTGTTGTGTAAATACTGTACATTGCAGAAATCAGTATTATTTTAAAAAGATGTCCTCAAATGATTGTTTACTATCTTACATTTCTGGATGTGCTAGGGTGCCTGTCATTGAGTATTGCCTTATGTGACATTCCATGAGTTGATGTCAAAGCAGCATATTATGAAGAAGTCAGGATTGCAGCTACTGACAACAAAGAGGGTTGTCCCTATGTATCTGTTGACACTGCAGATGTACAGGTGACTTATTTTATCTACTGCCTTCCATTCTTACAACGAAAGGATCGGGACCAGTGTCTTCATATGGTGTACACACAGGGTGCAGTGGATGACCTTGTATAAGACAAACCCCCTTCTTGCCATCATATCAAAGGGCATCATTGAGACAGTGTGCATCTCAACGATGCCCTGTTCTTGTGCTAACAGTTGTGCTTGATGTACTGTGATCATCACAGATGTGTTGTGTGTGTTCTTTCCCTAGCTGACAAGAAATAGCATCAGGCTGGAACTGACACTTGAGTAATTAGTGCTTTGAAAGCAGGTTCAAGGACATGTCTTTGTCATGGTTGAGATATTTATTTTCTGCATGGTTCATGTCTAAATGTTCACAGCCATAGTGCACCTGCCGGCAGTGCCATGCTGGTAGTTCTGTCAGAGACCAACGTGTTCACACAAAGCCAGGAATGCTCCCCCGCAGGGAGTGGATGTACAGTACTTGTATATAGGACACAGATCTGAAGATATTTATTTTAAGAGTTAATTTTTCCTTGATAGTCTTTTCATGTCTTTAATATCGATGACATTTTAGTAAACTAGAGAGACTAATTAGAGGTGTGTGCTGTGTTCTGTGCTAAAAGGACAAATTTAAACTAAGCACACAACCAACTCAAAGAACTAAAAGTAACAGATTCTTACTTAAAAAAAAAAAAAAAAAAAAAAACAACCAATCTAGCTGTACTTGATCGAATCCAGGTCCTCACTCAGGCTACCATCACGGAGCTATATCCCTTTTGGATTCTCAATGCGAAATTGCCTGGACAGGTCTTGAACCTATGATCCACCTACCACCACCTCCGAAGAATCTAAGATGACAGGCAATGTTGGTGTTAGATATTATGCAGTTGTTAAGGAGTTGATTCAGAGTTATTTATTCCCCCTTCAAGGATGTATAAAGTAGTCAGGAATTCAGCTAGCTGTTTAATGAAATAGTGAATTAGAAGCATTTCTAAAGCTAGGCAAGTAGTACACACCTGTCATTCCAGCATTCAGAAGCTGTGGCAGGAGACTTACTGTGAGTGTGCAACCAGCCTGGGCTATGTAGCAATACCCTGTCTCAAATAATACATATTTTAAGCATGTAATGAATATTTCCAGAATTGCACTTAAAGATAAAAGTGTTATGAATATGCTTTTGAAGTAATTTTGAAACAGGTCTAGAAATTTCAGACTAAAGTAGACATGCATTTTCCTTTAAAAGCACAGACTGAGCAAGGCCTTTTGCATGGTAACCATCATAAATAAAAAGCCTAAGCTATGACTGGATACCTCGAAAGAATTGCTGCTACTCCATGCAAGAATTTTAAATATCAAGTTAGGTGATTTCCTGATAGTTAAAAATCCTTGAGCCTTAAAATTTCACCAGAACAAAATCCTCTCTAGTTTACTTGGGTGTACACACATCCAGACCACAGGGAATCTGAAGTCAGTCACACACATACACCTCCTATAAGATGTACATACTCCTTCCACTTTTTACCTATGCGCTTTCTTTTCTACTAAGCTGAAAGTTCCTTTTTATCAAGGTGTACACTACTGATGCTGTTTGTTGTATTGGGAACACATAGCAATAAAAAAAAAAACGTGAAAGAGGAGGTGTGGCCTGACCTTGATTTCCTTGCTGGTTTCTTTGGTGCTTATGGGAATGAATCTCTTGGTTTCAGCTCAAGATAAACCACAGTTTTAGAGATCGTAAGATGCCATGGGGGGGGTGGATTTTGTTGAAGTCTGCCCCATAAACTATGTAAGAACAAAGCTGAGGATACTAGTAAAGAAATGAATATATTCATATATATTCATATATATTCAAAAATCTGAGTAGCTGAGATGCCCAATGTCTTTGGACCATGACTGCCTGAGGGTTGGAGGGGATATCCCACTGGACTCAGGAACAGAACACCACAAAAGGATGGCCTTTTGTTCTGTAAAGAGGGGACACTGGAATACCCAATGCCAGCTTTGAGGTGCAAAGCTGACTGAGTTTAACCTCTACCTGTCAATTCATACCTGATTTTCAGTTTCTTCAGTACTATAGACAGCAGAACTCTGATATTATCATGAAAATGAAATAACATATGTAGTCATCAAGGAACCTAACACATAGCACCTCCTAATAGACAAAGAGTTGTCTGTATAACCCACCTCAGCTTCATTATACAATTGCAGCACAGCTGTCCTCTAGTGTTTGTGGCTAGTCTGGTATCTCAGAATTGTTTAGTCTCACTTCAGGTGAAAAAGATGGTTTGTAAAATCTAAAGACAAATGACTTTAAGACTTGATATAATGAACTCAGTTAAAATGCTCTCCAGTCATCGATTTTGAAGATATTTAGCTGCTTCTTTCCATTTTCCCTTCCCAAGCAACAATCAAACTAAGCTGACAGCTAGTGTTATTCCTGCACACCATCAGCATACATTTCTGATACTTTTATTTCATCAAGATATTTTGCAGGCCACCACAAAAATCAGTCTTCTAGATACCATCTGTACTTTATGAAGCAGCTTTTTAAATTTAAGGCGAGAAAAAATCTACATAAAATTGATTTTTAAAAATGGGATAAACCAGAGAATATTACCTGCTAAAGTATTAAAGTAAAAGGGGCTACTGAATCTACTTACAATCATGGAAAACAGAAAACTCAGAGTGCACAGGTGTTATCAACTAAAACCATTTGTTCGCTTTCATCCCAGATGATTTGAGATAATTCAGCCAGAGCTGAAGGTGAACTTTAACAACTCATTATAATATTGCCTATGATACAAAGAAAACATAATTCACTAAAATGAACTGAGGTCCCTAGATTCCCAGAACAAAATGCTACACATTTCTATAATTTTATCAGGCACTTTACCTAGGAATTGCTTGGACAGCACCAAGTAGCATTGTATTAAAACTATTACTTTAAAACCAAGCAGTGGTGGCACATGCCTTCAATACCAGCACTTAGAAGACAGGGGCAAGCAGATTTGAGTTTGAGGCCAGCCTGGTTGGTCTACAGAGTGAGTTCTAGGACAGCCAGGACAGAAACCATGTCTCAAAAACAAAACAAAGCCAAAGGGGGGGAAATATTGCTTTGAAACATTAGTATTTTTCAGCCAATTCACAATTTCAAACAGAGGCATCACTCCCCAGGTGATCCATTTCTACAGTCACTGCTAAATAATAGATGTGCTAATGTAACACCAGCATCCACACAAAACACTCACTGCCCCCACCCCTTCCTCTGCCTGTCTTCTGCCCTAAACCCAAGAAGTTCCCAGCAGCAGCTGCTTTTTAGCCCAAATCCATCTTTGAGTTAAGGGAATTTCCTGGGCTCTGATGCTGTTCTGGGCATGCATAACAGTGAAAATCCCCAACCCCAGATGTGCTTAGGAGATCACAGGGGAAAAGGAAGCAAACACCTTATCTGGCCTGACAATACACTGTGAAAAAGGAGTCCGAAGAGCCTGGTGCCTTGTTAGGAGTGACAATGATAGCCTGAGGCACAAATGTCTCTGCATTGTTGGGGGAGGAAGACTCAAGGAAGAAAGAGCTCCCAGTACAGCACAGCGTGCTGAAGTGGAGTAACAGCTGCCAGGTTCAGTCACTGGCTGAGAAAGAGCTCTTTGGGACAGGGAATGATGGGGGAAGGGAGCCAGTCAAAGGCAACACAGGACTGGTGGGTCAGTGTAGGGATTTGGCCTTGATCTTTGAGTTTCTTTGGTGCTCTTCACAGGAATGAGTTCAGGATTTGACCACAGACACAGTTTGAAACCTATTAATGATAACCTGTGCTGTTTCTCTCTTCAAGTCTTAGTTCCCTTATCTATACCATGGATCTAGCTCAAATCTCACCAACTTCTAGGGTGGAATCAAATGAGCTCGTTCACTTGAAAATGTGCAAAGGTCACATTCTCGACTGTTTATGACAGCGCAGTTTACAACAGCACCTGTGAGTGAATGAACACAGGAAATGAGCCTTGTCACACCACCCAGAAGCCCTAGGGAAAGCAGACTTCCTGGGCTAAGCTTTGTTGTAACCCCATAAAATCTGTCTAAACCCTGTACCCAGGGTTCCCAGTCCTCTATTTCACCTGGAGTATGGCTGTGGACCCCAGTGCACTGGAATATAAAAGACCTCATGCTTTTGCATCAAGACTGCTTCTCATGAGTGA